TGAAGTCGGTGAAATTGAATCAATACTGGATGGAGGTCCTGCCCAATGGAAAATTAGTTTTGTAATTAGGGTTCCCCTTATCCTGATTGAGCCCAGTGTCTCATGAAAGGACAGGGCAAGAGGTTTTTCAGCAATCCACACATGGGCAGAGTTATCCATTTCAATCTTTCACCCCACTGGGATAGTGCAAAAAATCTTCTGCTTCTATGAAGGAGGTCCAAGAATTTCTCTTTACATGGAATCATAGTGATTGGTCTGATGAGAGATAAAGCTCTGACCCCAGAAACTGAAGCATTGAAAAATGACTTTGATACAGAAAAAAGTGTTTCTTGATGTCTGAAGTAATGAGGGACAATATGAAAGGAAATGCAGCTAAGATTTGGTCTTTAGCTTCTAAGAGTTCACCTCATCTGAAAACCCTTTAATTCATGGTTCACCTTGATTGTTAGTCTCCTCAAGCTTCCAAATTTAACTAATATCAAATATGGGTTTGTTCTTCCATGCCAGTTATTGTAACCTAATTGTAATTCTAAACGGATGATTTTTTGATACCTAGATGGGCCTTAGAAATACCTCCTTCTGACTTCTGACAAAGAATGCCCATGCATGTCCCACGTTCTGAAGCAAAAGATGGCTGATTCATTCTTTTGGAGGGACATGTTCTCATGACCTCAACTTTATCTCACATCATACAGTTCTAGAAACTGATGAGTCACTTTTAGTCTTATTTCAAGCGCATGTTAGCATGTCAGCATATGGTTAATGGTAACATATTTTCTTTGGAATTCCTTGTTTTTTCCTACTTAGTCTCTGCCTCAGTCCAAATGTGTGGAAAAATGTCATCCTGGATTTGTCAAGCAGACTCGGGAAGGAGAGCCAGTTTGCTGCTATGACTGTGTTCCTTGTCCGGAGGGGACCATCTCCACTCAGGAAGGTGGGTTGCACTGAAAGGGCTTGTGGAAGGAAATTCATTTAGAGCATTTTCATGGAACTGCAAGTTAAAAGAAAGTTTGAAGCTCAACTTTCATGTTTAATTTCAATTGATGATCTAAAGGGGATAATACCCAAAAGACTCTGAAGGAGGAGCTGGATAGAGATCGGAGAGTGTGGCAGACTGGTCAAGCTTTAATACTGCCAGAGAAAATTTCTGCTTTTTATTTTTTATTTTAAATTTAATTTATATGCCGCCCTTCTCCGGAGACTCAGGGCGGCTTACAATGCGTTAAGCAATAGCCTTCATACTTTTGTATATTTTTATACAAAACGGGGGAGGGTGGGTGCCACACCTCCCCCCCTGGCCCCCTGGCCAGGAAGCTGCAGGGAGGCCCGCTAGGCCCAAACTGGGGGTTGGGGGTGCGGCGCGCCCCCCCAGCCCATTTTTGGGCTCAGGAGGCTCCAGGGAGGCCTGCTTGGCCCAAATAGGGGGCGGGGAGTCACGTGAGCATGCGTATGGGGCGCATTGCATTATGGGTTCCAACATGCCCACACACTTTCGACACACAAGGATAAAAAGGTTAGCCCTTCCTGAGATAGAATATTAAAGAAATGCTGGGTTTTTTTTTTTCAGATATAGAAAAATGCACCAAGTGTCCAGATAATAAATATCCAAATGAGGACCGAATCCAGTGTATCCCCAAAAATATAAACTACCTGTCTTATAAAGAACATCTGAGCATCCTCTTAGTCTCTTTTGCCCTACTCTTGTTCCTAACCACAAGCCTTGTCTTATTCATTTTCATTAATTATCGAAAAACTCCCATTGTCAAAGCCAACAACCGAGACCTTTCATACATCCTCTTGGTTTCCCTTGTGCTTTGCTCCTTGTGTCCCTTTCTCTTCATTGATCAGCCAAGGAAAGCCACCTGCCTTCTCCGACAAACAGTTTTCAGCATCATCTCCTCAGTTGCCATTTCTTCTCTCTTGGCTAAAACAATCACAGTGGTGCTAGCTTTCCTGGCCACAAAACCAGGAAACCAAGTAAAGAGATGGCTGGGGAAGAGCTTGGCTAACTCCATCATCCTTTCTTCTTCTACTGTCCAACTTATCATCTGCTCCATCTGGCTTGGAGTTTCTCCCCCATTCCCTGACTCTGACCTCCATTCCCAGCCTGGAGTGATCATCCTGCAATGCAATGAAGGTTCTGTTGTCATGTTCTACATCACCCTCAGCTACCTGGGCTTCCTGGCTGCCATCTGCTTCACGGTGGCTTTTCTGGCCAGGAATCTGCCTGGTGGCTTCAATGAGGCCAAACTAATTACCTTCAGCATGCTGGTCTTCTGCAGTGTCTGGGTTAGTTTTGTGCCCACCTACTTAAGCACCAAAGGGAAATACATGGTTGTTGTTCAGGTCTTCTCCATCTTGGCCTCCAATGCTGCTCTGCTGGGCTGCATCTTCATCCCCAAGTGCTACATTATGATTGTGAGGCCAGATCTGAATACAAAGGAGCATCTTACGACTGCAAGAAATGTAGTAATATGAGACAGGAGTTTCCAACAGGCCAGTCCTAGAAAATAATCCAAGCTGTTCTCCATACATGAGCATGGCAATATTTTTGCTTGAAATAATTTAAGGGTTAATTGTACAATAGTCCTCCTTCCTTGTACTCTAGAATTGCAAAATGGCTCTTTTGAGCTGTCAAGATATCATATCTGTCCTATGCCCTTAGAGGAGTTCTGAAATTTCCCACCAAGGTATTTTAAACATAACACTTGTACAATGGGAATTTTATTGATATCTCAGAAATAACTGTATAATTTCAAGGGGCTGTAATATGCCATTGTTTTAGTTGTTATTTACAACTAAAACAACATTGTGCATGTGCAGTTGTGGTTCTTTGCAATATTGTACTCAAAATCTCAACATCATCAGCATAAGGAGAGAAGAGAAACACCTCCAGACGAATTAGGGTGATTTGTCTTTTCTTATCCTCTTAAAATGGAAGTTTGCAAGGAGATTCTATTCACAAAATGAAGTTATCCTAAAAGAATCGTATTTATTTCCAAATAAAGCAGAAATACAAGTGGCTGTCTGGATCTTTCTTATTGGCTGAATGTTGAACAAATAGAATAGAATAGAATAGAATAGAATAGAATAGAATAGAATAGAATAGAATAGAATAGAATAGAATAGAATAGAATAGAATAGAATAGAATAGAATTTTTTATTGGCCAAGTGTAATTGGACACCCAAGGAATTTGTCTTGGTGTATATGCTCTCTGTGTACATAAAATAAAAGATTCATTCATCAAGAATCATAAGGTACAACACTTAATGATAGTCGTAGGGTACAAATAAGCAATCAGGAAACAATATCAATATAAATTGTAAGGATACAAGCAACAAAGTTACAGTCATACAGTCATAAGTGGAAGGAGATGGGTGGTGGGAATGATGAGAAGATTAATAGTAGTGCAGCCTTAGTGAATAGTTTGACAGTGTTGAGGGAATTATTTGTTTAGCAGAGTGATGGTGTTTGGGAAAAAACTGTTCTTGTGTCTAGGTGTTCTGGTATTTAGTGCTCTATAGCGTCATTTTGAGGGTAGGAGTTGAAACTATTTATGTCCAGGATGTGAGGGGTCTGTAGATATTTTCAGAGCCCTTTTTTTGACTCATGCAGTATACAGGTCCTCAATGGAAGGCAGGTTGGTAACTATTGTTTTTTCTGAACATTGAACAAATTCTCATCCTTTCTCATCCCCTTCTTGGATCTAAATTAATATGCAGCATTTAAGACCTGTGCCACAATCCATACCATGAAGTTTATGAGATGGTTTTCAGGACAAGATCTTTTCAGTCTCCTCCTCCTCCTCCTCCTCCTCCTCCTCCTCCTCCTCCTCCTCCTCCTCCTCCTCCTCCTCCTCCTCCTCCTCTACAGTCATCTTGCCCAGCCTTCTACAGAGAACTGATGTTTCAGATAAGAAAATGGAAATGCTTTATCTGCAAATTGTAGAATAGAAGAGTAAGGGGCCTGAATGACATTGGATTTTGTCTTTCAAGGCAGAGCTGACCTAAAAAGTAATGAAAATATGATACTAATAGTGTACAATAGAATAATCAGCTTTGTTTCGGGGGGGAAGTAAAATTATTATAAAGATGGTGGTTAGCACCCACCCCCTCCTAGAAGAATGAGATATTCTGGGAAATATTAAAAAGGCAGAATATTACGTTTCCCTGGATGAGAAAAGGAGAAACACATTTTTAGAGACAAAGTAGCTTCCTGCAGCTCCCTGCCCCCACTTCATCTTTAGGGTGATGGGATTAAGACATGGCCCTCAGGACATGATAGGATTAGCCCTCTACCCATCTCACCACATGGCACCTGGGAAGATTACATCACCCAGCAAGGTTCAACCAAGCTTGGGACTCAAAAGACAACATACAAAGTTACTCCTGCATGGCCCCATGGGAGTCTGAAAACCAATCAGAATACAATCTCAAATTCAAACCCATGTGCTTTTTTTGCCCAGGACTTCAAACCATGTAATAGGGTTGCGGTGGCTCAATGGCTAAGATGGTGAGCTTGTCGATCGAAAGGTTGGCAGTTCAGCAGTTTGAATCCCTAGTGCCGCGTAACAAGGTGAGTTCCCATTACTTGTCCCAGCTTCTGCCAACCTAGAAGTTCAAAAGCATGTAAAAAATGCAAGTAGAAAAATAGGGATCACCTTTGGTGGGAAGGAAACAGCATTCCATGTGCCTTTGGTGTTTAATCATGCCGGCCACATGACCACAAAGACGTCTTCGGACAGCGCTGGCTCTTCGGCTTTGAAACAGAGATGTGCACCACCCCCTAGAATCTGGAACGACTAGCACATATATGCGAGGGGAAACTTTACCTTTACCTCAAACCATGTGGTCCTGTCCACAATTAAAAACCATTTTTCCAAGTAGTCTCCATGTTTCCAGCATCTTTTTCCCACTTGGAACTGAACCCAGATGGACATTTCTTCCAACACTATCATCCACAAATCAAAATCAGAAGACAGAAAGGCATTACTTGATCATGATGCTTTATTGAAAAATGCTGCTCAACTACACTTGAATCTCTGATTCATTGATTGATTGATTGATTGACTGTCTGACTGGAGCTTGTAGACCACTTGACATCAGCAAGATTTTAAGTGTATTGGCAGACTGAGAGAGAGAGAGAGAGAAGGGGGGGGGGTCTCTGCTGTTTCTGATCTGTTCCCCCTGCCCAATTGCTTAGTACTTGATGTAGGAAAGAGTCACGTCTCCATTGATCTCTAGAGTGTGGATGTCTTCAATAGGGACATAACGATGGGCATAGTTGAAGAAAGGTTGGCCATTGGCGTAAACCTTGAACTTGTGGTTGTCACAGTGGATCAAGAGCTGGGAAGAGAGGAAGAATGTTAGTGTGGCAAATCAGTACATCTGGATTACTTTTGGTCCTCTGACAAGGGGTCTGCAATCCACACCATTTGCAACTTGCATCAAAATCAAAAGGTACCACCAATACATAAGATATGGGGCTTCATTGATGGGGGGGAGTCATAACTGCCACACTTTTTTCTCCTCTCCTCCCCCCAAAGCCCCAAGGGCAATACAAGGACAATTTTCCAAGAGAGAGGTAAAAATGGGATTCTAAATGACCCAAAGGTCCTGTGTGGGTTCCGATGGATGCCCTAATTAATTCATCAGCCTCGAGCCAGGTTTCAAAAGAAATCCAGTTATTTATTAGGAGCAGCATGTCGGCACTTATCCAAGTGGAGTCAGCTCTGCCCTCACATAGTTTATGACTCCACAATGACCCTGTTTCCAGCCTCCTCCCTGGGTGTGTCATAAATCACATTCTCCAAGGGAGCACATTCGCGGGCTGTAGGAAACACGCCCCTCCTGCTGGGTCCAGTAACCTGGGATACAATCTGGAGAAAGGTATGCGTGGAATGTGCTTGTAGTCATGCCAGCTGAGCTGCCCCATGAGCTTCTCCCCCTTCTTGCCTACGGCAACTTGAGATCAGTCCTGGAATGCTTTACGAGTTGACAGATCCTTTTTCAGAAGGCAGCTGGATTTTCTTCTCCTGTGCTAACTGGGAATTATGGGAGATGGAGTTTTACACCTCTGTAAGACATCAGCTGGATCTTCTCTACACCCCCACCCCCATTGCCTCCCTACTTTCTCATTGGCCAACCAGCCAAACTCTCTGCTAGAATCCAGGGGCATCTACATGAGATGGTTAAAATAGGGGCCAGATACCATTTATATCTCTATGGCTGACATATTATTTTTTTTATTGCCTCCCTGCAGATGTCCCTCCTTTCTGTAGTCAAAGCCAACTCACCTCAAAGGTCTGCCCAGGTTGGAAAGGGTTAAAGGTCAAGTTCCTTTCCTCGGGTCCCCACCTGCCATATAGAAAACTGTTACGGACCACGATTCTTTGTTCCAGGCGTGGATTAATCTGCAGAGCAATATCCTGGCCAGCCATAAAATTGATTTGAAACCTTGAAAAGAGAGATCAAAGCAAGTGTCTCAGATGACCCTTGGAATAAATAAAAGGAAATCTGATTCTCCTCACCCCAATCTCTTAATTCAATAGCAGCCTGCCAGACGCTTCCATGGGTGAAGGCTAAGGGAGGGGTGGGGGGGAGACAGATCTTGTTCCTCTTTGCAAATATTATTTATTGGTTGACTGCTGCTGAATGCGTAAGTTCTATTTATCATTTTAGGTATTTATTCATTCATTGCATTTGCGTTCTGCCACAATCAAACTTTTAGTGAGCAATATAGGTATAAAAAGTCACACGTATGAAAAGGGGTTGTCAGAAAGAAGAGGGAGTCTATTCTTGAAAGCACCTGCACAGGGGTGAAATGCTCTGAAGTCTGCTACCAGTTCGTTTCACTACTGGTTTGCTTCGTGCGTGCATGCGCGGTGCATGCCAAATGCGCACTTTGTGTGCATGCGCACCACATGCACTGCTGCGCAGCACTGATAAAGGAGGATTAAGAAGCCTTTTCTGAGTCTGCAAAGGTAAGTAGGACAGTGAGGGGGGGGAACAGCTGTCTCGTGTGATTTCTAGCAAATATAAATCATGCGGCACAGTTGATCATCGGAAATACCGGTTCGACCAAACTGGTAGCATTTTTTTACTACTGGTTTGGGCGAAATGGTCTGAACTGGTAGCATTTCACCCCTGCACCTAAAGCAACTGAAGGCAGGACAAGAAGCAATGTATGGAAACTAATCAAGGAGAAAAGCAACCTAGAACTAAGGAGGAATTTCCTGACATTGAGGACAATTAACCAGTGGAACAACTTGTCTTCAGAAGTTGTGAATGCTTCAGAAGTTTTTAAAAAGAGATTGGACAATCATTTTTCTGAAATGGAATAGGGTTTCCTGACTGAGCAGGGTGTTGGACTAGAAGACCTCCAAACTCCCTTCCAACTCTGTTATTCATATTCAGTAGCACTCTAACTGTGAATAGCATTCTTCTAATGAAGAAAGCTGATTGCTGCTTAATGATGATTTGAGTCCAAATCTTTCTTTAAATCCATCTCCTTAGCTAGAGTTCCCCAAACTCTTCAACTCATCGATCTTTTCATGATATTTCATATTCACATTTTGGGGAAATATTTCCCTAAGCTTTGCTTCTTCTTCTTGTGGCAGTGAGTTCCACATACTATGTGCGGAATTGTGCTTCCCTTCCCCTTGTCCTCTGGGCTTTCCTTGTGGATGTGCACAAGAGATGGGAAAGGCATATAAAGGAGATAAAGCAGGAAAGGTCTATGAAAGGCCCTAAGACTGGCATTTTGCTGTGCCAAAGATAAACTGGAGCCCTGGTGTATAACTTGTGAGCAGGGGGAAAATGTGGGCTGAATGGACTGAAATGTGTGATGCCTGGAAGGCACTGGCAGGTTGGGACCTCTGGCTGTGACTGTAGAAAGGCAGCGATGCCCAATGGTTACAATTCCATTCCTCTGACTGCATCCAAAAACACATGAAAAAAGGGAGCCCAAACCTTTTCGCATTCTTCGGAATAGAGCCTCGCACTGTGATGTTCCTGTTGGCTTCCAAACCTCCAGGAATATCACCTGTGTAGGGCACCAGCTGAAATAGACAAGCATCCAGGTTACACTCAATGCCACCCCCCCCCCATGAGGCTGCTAGCTGGGGTCAAAATAGTTGTAGTCCATAGCAGAAGTGGTATTCAGCCGGTTCGGACCGGTTCACTCGCTGATATGCCTAATAAATTTGACAGGGTTCCAACGGATGCCCTAATTAAATCATGAGCTTCAAGCCAATCTTCAAAAGAAATCCAGTTATTTATTAGGAGCGTCATGTTGGCATGTTCCCAAGTTAAGCCAACTCTGACCCCACGTAATTTACGCCCCAATCATGACCGTTTCGCCCCTCCCCCCAGGGTATGTCATCGATCACATTTGCCAATGGAGCAATTTCATGGGTTGGAGATCACTCCCCCCCTGGTTGCTGTGGGTAACCCTGGGAGACAGCCTTGAGAGAGATAAGTCTGGAATGTGCATCTGTCTTTGGCTGCCATGCTGTTTCATTGGTTTCCCATCCCCCTTGCCTATGGCAACTCGAGAGCAGGCCAAGGATGCTTTGCGAGTTGACAATCTATACTTTGAGGAACATTCAGGCCTCAGAGTTTTGATTGCGTTGGGTCTGTTACTTGAGCAGCGGTGGCGCAGTGGTTAGAATGCAGTACTGCAGCTAATTCTTCTGATTGCTGGCTGCCTGCAATTTGGCAGTTCGAATCTCACTAGGCTCAAGGTTGACTCAGCCTTCGATCCTCCAAGGTTGGTAAAATGAGGACCCAGATTGTTGAGGGCAATATGCTGACTCTGTAAACTGCTTAGAGAGGGCTGTAAAGCACTGTGAAGTGGTATATAACTCTAACTGCTATTGCTATTATGTGCAATGAACACCAAAAAAAAATAGATGGGGTTGTGATAGTGTCAGTGGGATTGCTCTGTTGACTTTATTGATTAAACCTTGTGAAAGCCCCTGGTTTATGGCATTGCAAAAGATTGAGTTTATTGATCAAATCATCAACCTTGGTTCTAAATCCCGATTTCCTTGTGCAATATATAGATCTTTCTTTCCACTCAGTCACACATTTGCCCAAGGGCTTTCTTCTATTCCAAGTTTTTTTTTTTAATAGAGATATTTCTGAGTGATGGGGAGTAGCTGGCTTTGGACATGGGGAAAAGGGATTTATATTACAGTAATCCCCTCGTTAACCATAAAAAAAAAACCCTAATTTTCCCTAAAATGTTCCATTTACTATTCCTTTTCTTCTCCTTCCTTGTGATTTTAGAAGCTTGATGAACTAAACCAAGCATTAAGCAGTTGGCAGATTACTTTGTAATTCCCCCTCCCCCATTTTCTAGTCCTTCGTGTTCACTATGAGTATAATCTAAGCCAAACATCAGAAAATACTAGGCTCTTTGAATTGCACCTGAATGCACACAGATTTCTCATCTCCTGGTTTCTGTCCCATCCCACAAATTAAAGCTACAGTAAAGAGAGACAGGTTGGGTTAGCAAGTCTCTTGATAACTACTGGATGCTAGATTGCAAGGCCCATTATTATCTGGTTGGAAAGGAATTCAAAGAGACTGTTACCAACTCTATCAGCGGTGGGTTTCACATTTTGTTACTACCGGTCCATGCATGCACTTTGCTCATATGCACACCTTCCATGCATACGCCCGGCCTCAAAAATGTGCCTAAATAGGATGGCATAGAGCTGGGGCAGGTGAGCTGGCTCATCTGCGATTTCACTACCAGTTCGCCTGAACCAGTCTGTACCAGCTGAATTCCACTTCTGAACTCCATGGTTTTTTTTTTTTTTTCCTAAAATTGCTAGCCCTGGATATCCTTGCCTGCTGCCCTCTCCCTCTTCATCAGTGCCTTTCTACCACTTGATAAAACTGGTTAGTTTTAAAAAAGATGTTGAGACTCTAGAAAGAGTGCAGAGAAGAGCAACAAAGATGATTAGGGGACTGGAGGCTAAAACATATGAAGAACAGTTGCAGGAACTGGATACGTCTAGTTTGATAAAGAGAAGGACTAGGGGAGACATGATAGCAGTGTTCCAATATCTCAGGGGCTGCCACAAAGAAGAGGGAGTCAAACTATTCTTCAAAAGAACCTGAGGGTAGAAGAAAAAACAATGGGTGGAAACTAATCAAGGAGAGAAGCAATTTAGAACTAAGGAGAAATTTCCTGACAGTTAGAACAATTAATAAGTGGAACAACTTGCCTGCAGAAGTTGTGAATGCTCCAACACTGGAGGTTTTTAAGAAGATGTTGGATAACCATTTGTCTGAAGTGGTGTAGGGTTTCCTGCTTGGGCAGGGGGTTGGACTAGAAGACCTCCAAGGTCCCTTCCAACTCTGTTATTCTATTCTATTCTATTCTATTCTATTCTATTCTATTCTATTCTATTCTATTCTATTCTATTCTATTCTATTCTATTCTAACCTGGATTGGTGTTGTGGAGGTAATTTGGTCTGTTGCAAATCCCTTAGTGTGTGAATGCAGGAAACAGGTTACATATCTTATATTAACCTTGGCAGTGCTAATGAATCAGTGGTTGTCCAGCTGATCCTGACTCAGAATCTGGGTCTGTTCTTTTTTCATTCTTTGTAGCATGATAGAATTCCTGGGAGTTGAGGCCACATATCTTACAATTGCCAGATTGAGAAACACTGCTTCATGGACATTTGCAAGGGGGAAAGGAGTACATTTGCTCCCTGTTCAGTTGCTAGTATTAGTATACTAGTACTAGGTTGTTTTTTTTGCTAGGATGCAGAGTCATCAGCCAAGACAACTGAGAACCCAGAAGGACAGCCATTCTTGGGAGGGTTGAAAAAGAAGTATAAGAGGAGCAAATGGAAGGGGGAAAGAAAATGTGGCAGCTTGAGGGTTGAACAAACTGAAAATCAGTTCCCAGAGAGATCAAGGATCAGGAGGTACCAACTTGTCGATATTGATAATGCTTACCATGTTCTCCTTCGTTGGCCCTTCTGTCACATTCAGAGATTGCAGCTCCATGTCTCCCTTAACATTAATAACCTTCACATTTTGTGGTGGAATTCTGTGCATGTAGATACAGAAAGGCTTCTTGTTCACCAGGATCTGTCAGAGGAAAAAGCCAAAGGGACCAAGTCTCAATTGGGAATCATACAATTTCTTTGCAGGAAAAACCTGTTTATTCTTGCCATGAATACATCCCACACCATTTAGTGACTGTTCGCATTTTGACAGTGTTCAAACAGTAGGTTTGCAACAAATCCTGGCATTTGAAAGCTTCACAGGACTGTAAAGCAAAGAAAAGCTGAAGTCCAATCATAAAGATAGTCAGGATTTCATTTAGTGACCTCAGTGACTGAATCGTTGTTCCCAATTGTCGCTAAATGAAGACAACTTGTGCATCACTTAAAATAGTATATGGAAGATATGAAGTTGGGATAGTCAGTATTAAAGAGCCTTGGTGGCACAGCAGACTAAAGTGCTGTTAAGTAACACCAGCTGCCTGCAATTACTGCAAGTTCAAATCTCACCAGGCTCAAGGTTGACTCAGCCTTCCATCCTTTTTTTTTTAATTTGATTTATATGCCGCCCTTCTCCGGAGACTCAGGGCGGCTTACAATGCGTTAAGCAATAGCCTTCATACTTTTGTATATTTTATACAAAGTCAGCTTATTGCCCCCATAAACTGGGTCCTCATTTCACCTACCTTAGAAAGGATGGACGGCTGAGTCGACCTTGAGCCTGGTGAGAATTGAACTCGCAATAATTGCAGGCAGCTGGATGTTAAATGCTGCCTTAGGAGGCATTAACCTCCTACGCCACTCAGGCTTTTGAGGTAGGTAAAATGAGGACCCAGATTGTGGGGGCAATAAACTGACTTTGTATAAAAAAGAACACCGCTTAGGGGGCCCCCGAAAGCCCTACTAACCAGGTATATACAAAAAGTATGAAGGCTATTGCTTTGTAAGCCACCCCGAGTCTCCGGAGAAGGGCGGCATATAAATTGAACCAATTAATTAATTAATTAATTAATTAATTAATTAATGGTTCATTCTAGACCAGTGATGGCAAACCTTTTTGGCACTGAGTGCCCAAACCAGAATGTGTGCACGCTGGAGTACTGCACATGCTGGCTTCAGGTTTCCGGTGCGCCCAAAGACCAGGGGGTCGGCACATGCATGTGCACTGGCCATCTGGTCTTCAGATTTCCAGCACTCTGGCATGCACGGAGAGCAGCTGGCTGATGGGCAGGCACATTCTGGAAACCATAAGAACAGCTGGTGACAGCACGTGTGCCCACAGAGAGGGCTCCGTGTGCCACCTTTGGCATGCGTGCCATAGATTTGCCATCACGGTTCTAGACAATCAGTGAATTCTTTGGGTGGGGGAGGGGAATGAAGGGCCACCTGCAGTCCCAAAAGTAGCTTCTGTCACATATACCAACCTGGTATTTGGCCTCATTGACAATGAAGATGACCTCAAAATCCTCTCCTTTTTGGAAGGGGATCTCATGATGCTCTTCATGTCCCCACCTGCCAGCCTGAAACGTGTTGAGCACAGTTTTCTGCCAATTAAAGTAAATCTTGAAGTGGAAGGCAATGTTGGTCCCATCATGCTGCCCACAGGCAAAGTTCACCTCAAATCTGGAAGAGACAGAGGAAAAAAACAAGTGGAAAACTTAATTGGTAGGTGCAGGAATCTCAGAGTAGAGTTCTGCTCCTTTTCCTTTACTCTGAAGCTAGAATACGTAGGATGCTCTTTGTTGGTTTAACAGAAGAATCAAGTTCTTAGCCCTGGTGACTTAGTTGGAGTTGCAAGAACCAGGAACTAGAACTATCCAAAGAAATAACACTGTACTGCAAACTAGGGCATACAAAACCTTTGCCAGACCAATCCTCAAATACAGCTCATCTGCCTAGAATCCACACTATATCGGACATCAATACAATTGAGCGAGTCCAGAGGTATTTCACGAGAAGAGAGTTCCACTCCTCTTCTCACAATAGAATACCTTATGCCACCAGGCTTGAAATTTTGGGCTTGGACAACCTTGAACTACGTCGCCTATGATCTAACCTAAGCTTAGTACACAAAATTATCTGTTACAAAGTCCTACCTGTCAATGACTACTTCAGCTTCAACTGCAATAATACACGGGCAAACAATAGATATAAACTCAAGGTAAATCGCTCCAAACTCGATTGGAGAAAATACGACTTCAGCAACAGAGTGGTCAATGCCTACCTGACTCCATTGTTATTTCCTCAAACCCCCATAGTTTCAACTTTAAACTGACTACTGTGGACCTCACCCCATTCCTAAGAGGTCCATAAAGGGGGCATGCATAAGTGCACCAGAGTGCCTACCACCCCTGTCCTACTGTCCCCATTTATTTGTACTCATTTCATGTGCTCATGTCCATGTTTCTACTTATACCTGTTATCTAGTACATGTTTGACAAATTAAATAAATAAATACAAATTAAGAAGGCCTTTAATCTTGGCATACAATTTGAATTATATAATTTACCCTTAGAACATAATAATCTTATCACTATTATTTTGAGACAGATAGATCTTGCCCTTCCTGTGAGCCTCCAAAAGAATGTTACCTTTTGGGGTGTTTGGGTACTGCACCTTGCACATATACAGACATCCCAGGTCGGAGTCCACCAGAGACAGATTGGTGATAAGGAAGTGCCTGGAAGATAGGAAATGATGAACCAAACCAATGACTTTACAGCAAAACACAACTTAGACTTTTCATCTAGTCAACTACAACCTGTGCCCAGTGGTGGGATCCTGCCGGTTTAACAACCGATTTGGTGATCGCGCATCAGATGTGTGCACACGCATGCACAGTTTTAACAAAACTAACCTTCCATGTTACTTCTGGGGAGTAACATAGCTGAGGCGCAGCAATCCGCTCTGCTGTGTGAATCAGCTGAGAGGATAAAGATAAGTAAAACACAGGGGTGAGAGGGCTGGCCCACCTGATCCGAACCGATCCGAACCGGCTGAATCCCATCCCTGCCTGTGCTTTGTATCAGCTTTTCCATGTAGCTTCCAAGTCAAACAAAGACCTCCTGAGGGAGCCTCTGATAAGAATTAATCCCCCAACATGGCAGGGAAAGGAAAGCATGGAGGAAGCACCAGAACTGCAGCCACAGTTCTGCTTTAACTCTATCAGTTGATCAGTGGATTGAGCAAGACTGGCTGGATACCTGATCTCTCACTGCACTGGAGGAACCTCTAACTGCCAACTTGGTTAGGCTGGTGGAACCAAGAGTGTTTGCCTTTTCCTCTGCATTTCTGGAGCTTTTATAGGAGAACTGTGTTTCATTTGTGGGTGGGTGGGAAGACCCCAGTAGATGCAAGCATTTTGCAACCTTCTAATTTCAGGGAATTGAGGCCACACATCTTAAAACTGCCAGGTTGAGAAATGCTGATTTGTAGAATCTTGAAGGGGGAAAGCAGGACATTGGCCTGGGGTAAATTTTCTCCCTGTTCAGTTGTTGGTCCTAGTGCCATCCTAGAATGGCTATTTTTGCTAGAATGCAGAGTTGTAAGCCAAGGCAATTGAGGACCTGGGAAAGGAGGACATTGCTAGGGGTCAAGAAAGATGTGCAAGAAGAGCAATTAGAACGGGAGAAAGAGAAAGTGGCAGTTTGGGGATTGAGCAAATCCAGAATCAATTTCCAAAGTGAGATCAAGGATCAGGAGGTGCTAAAGGGAGCCCCTCCCCCCCAGGGGAAGAAGACATGAGACAGCAAATAATCCAAACACAATACAAATAATTAAATCACAACTGTTTACACAAGAAGAAAAGCCCTGTCTAGCTCATTCTAGAGCTTACACTCCCAGGTAACCTTAAGTGGAAACATTTAAGATAAGCCTAACCATAAAGAATGCAATTAGCACTAGAATGTAGTGAAAGAGCAAACACAATAGCTGCTGCTTGTTAAACCAATTACCAGAACAAATAGTCACAGGAACTAGCCAGATTTCTCAACTCTACTTCTTTTCAGGAACAGAGTGTAACTTTTTTTCCTTCCAAACAAAGGTGAATAGGGGAAATTATCCCATCAATAAACAAAGAATTAAATGTCACCCAAAACCAGTTTCAGACCAAAACCCAGAAAGGGTATATAAATTCATGTTTGAATGTCAATCTTTCTAGCTAGCCAAGAAGCCTTGCGGAATGTCACTCATCTTGGTTCCTTGTCATTAAAAGCTTCTTTCCGGCAGCTCTGCTTCATTATTCAATTATTTTTTCAAAGCGTGGATCATTGCATCTCGGCTGGAAGAATCCCAACAGGGGAGTATTTCCTCCCAACAGTGCCGACTTGTCAATACCTGGTCACTTACCATGTTCTGCGTTGTTGGTTCTATCACATTCAGAGAGTTCAGCTCCAGATCTCCCTTCACATGGATGACCTTCACGCTTTGTGGCGGAATTCTATGCTTGTAGGTGCAGAAGGGTTTTTTGTTCACTAGGATCTGTCAGAGAGCAAACCCCAAAGAATCAAGTCTCAATTGGGATCATACATTTTGTTTGCAGGGGGAAAAAAACCGGTTTATTTTTGCCAAGAAAACAACCCACCTCAAAGCTGAGCAGAGGTCAAAATGTGTATATGTACGGAGGGAGAAACCTTTAGTTCAACAATACCCAACTTTTTTCCACCCTGGAGCAAAATGTTTTCCCTTCAATTATAGGTTGTCCTCATTTAGTGACTTTTTCAATTAGGACAGTGGTGAAGCAGTAACTTTGCAACAAATCCTGTCATTTAAAACCTTTACCAGACAGTAAACAAAGAAAAAGCTGAATCATGAACACAGTCACATTTTCATTTAACATGTAAGTCGCTGGTCCCAGTGGTTGTTAAATGAGGATTACCTGTACATCACTTAAACCCATGTGGAAAATATGAAATTAGGAAAATTGGTATTAAATGTCTTTATGGTTCATTCCAAACAAATTGTGAATTCTGGGGGTGGGGGGAGGAATGAGGATAAGGAGCCTCTGTCACATGTACCAACCTGGTATCCGGTTTCATTGACAATGAAGATGATCTCGAAATGCTCGCCTTTTCGGAAGGGCATCTGATGACCCTCTTCATGTCCCCACCTGCCAGCTTGAAATGTGTTGAGTTCAACTTTGTTCACATTAAAGCAAGGGTTGAAGTTGAGGGGAATGTCAAACCCCTCATGCTGGCCACATGCAAAGTCCACATTGAAGTACACCCAGGATCTGGAAGAGAGAGAGGAAAAAAGAAGAGGAAAATTAAATGAGAAGTGCAGAAGACTCAGAATGTAATTCTGCTTCCCCCCCCTTTTTTTTTTTCTTTGCCCTGAAGCTAGAAATTGTAGGTGCCTGTGTTTTTGCTTGAAGAGAAGAATCAAGTTCCTGGCCCTCATGGCTTAGTTGGAGTTACAGGAAGCAGGATATAGATATATCAGAGGATAATTAGAACAGCAGAAAAAACAATTACTACCAACCTGCCTTCCGCTGAGGACCTGTATACTGCACAAATCAAAAAGAGGGCTGTAAAAATATCTACAGACCCCTCACATCCTGGACATAAACTGTTTCAACTCCTACCTCAAAATGACACTATAGGGCACTGCACACCAAAACAACTAGACACAAGAACAGTTTTTTCCCAAACGCCATCACTCTGCTAAACAAATCATTCCCTCAACACTGTCAAACTAGTTAAGAAGTCTGTATTACTATTACTATTAATCTTCTCATTGTTCCTATCACCCATCTCCTCCCACTTATGCCTGTATGACTGTAACTTTGTTGCTTGTATCCTTACAATTTATACTGACTGTTTCCTAATATGATTTGACTGCTTATTTGTACCCTATGATTATCATTAAGTGTTATACCTTATGATTCTTGACGAATGTATCTTTTCTTTTTATGTACACTGAGAGCATATGCACCAAAGACAAATTCCTTGTGTGTCCAACCACACTTGGCCAATAAAGAATTCTATTCTATTCTATTCTATTCTATTCTATTCTATTCTATTCTATTCTATTCTATTCTGTTCTGTTCTGTTCTGTTCTGTTCTGTTCTGTTCTGTTTTACTCTACTCTACTCTACTCTACACTACTCCACTCCACTCCACTCCACTCCACTCCACTCCACTCCACTCCACTCCACTCCACCCTTAACAACATAATAAGAGCCTTATTTATTTATTTATTTATTTATTTATTTATTTATTTATTTTATTGAATTTCTATACTGCCCTACTCCCGAAGGACTCAGGGCGGTGAACAGCCATGAAATAAAACACATACATATACAAAATTTAAAATCAAATAAAATGAATTAAATAAATTTGGCTGAATTGATACCCATAATTTAAAATACCCATATTTTAAAATACAGTAAAAATTTAAAATTTACACTTAAAAGGGAGAAGATTTAGGCGAGGCCAGCTTGATGAAATAAAAGAGTCTTCAGCTCGCGGCGGAAGGTGCGCAGATCCGGAATCCTCCGTATCTCTGGGGGGAGCTCATTCCAGATCGTCGGTGCCTTGGTAGTACAGTGGTTTAATGCACCCTGTTATTAACACAGCTGCCTGCAATTTCTGCAGGTTTGAATCTTACCAGGCTCAAGGTTGACTCAGCCTTCCATCCTTTCTAAGGTAGGTTAAATGAGGACCCAGTTTGTGGGGGCAATAAGCTGACTTTGTATAAATATACAAAAGTATGAAGGCTATTGCTTAACGCATTGTAAGCCGCCCTGAGTCTCCGGAGAAGGGCGGCATATAAATCAAATTTAAAAAAAATAATAATAATCTTACTACTATTATTTTGAATAAGGTAGCATCTTGTCCTCCCTATGAGCCTGCAAACGAAATTTACCTGTTGCTGTCTTTGGGCACTGTGCCTTGCACATATACAGATATTCCAGAGCGGAGTCCACCAGGGACAAGATGATAGTAAGGGAGAGTCTGGAAGACAGAAAATGATGAACCAAACCAATGACTTTATTGCAAAACCCAACTTTGACTTTCAAACCAGCCAACCGCAACCTGTCCCTTGTATCTGCCTTTCCATTTGGCTTCTGAGTCAGACAAAAAACTCCTGAGGAGGCCTCTACTAAGGATTAATCCCCAACATGGCAGGGGAAGGGAGGTGTGGAGGAAGCACCATAAGCACAGCCATTGAACAGATCTGTTTTAGCTCTATCAGTTGATCAATGGATTTAACAAACCTGGCTAAATGTCAGCATCTTATCAGGTATAAATTATCTAGATGATAAATGATCTAGATGCGTTGATAGAAGGGAAACTTATGAAATTTTCAGACAACACCAAGCTGGGGGAATAGCAAATACTTTCAATGATAGACCTTATGCCACCAAGCTCAAAATTTTGGGATTGGAAAACCTAGAACTATGCCGCCTACGGTCTGACCTAAGTGTACTACATAAAATTGTCTGCTACAACTTCCTACCTGTCAATGACTACTTTAGCTTCAACCGCAATAATACACGAGCACACAATAGATACAAACTCAAGGTAAACCACCGTGGGGGAGAAAGAGATTGTGGCAGTTTGGGGATTGAACAAATCCAGAATCAATTCCCAAAGAGAGATCAAGGATCAAGAGATGCTGACTTGTTGCGACTGATCACTTACCATGTTCTGTGTTGTGGGTTCTGTCACAGTCAGAGAGTTCAGCTCCAGATCTCCTTTCACATGGATGACCTTCACACTTTGTGGTGGAATTCTATGCATGTAGGTGCAGAAGGGCTTCTTGTTCACCAGGATCTGTCAGAGGGCAAACCCGAAGAGATCAAGTCTCAATTGAGGTCATACATTCTGTTTGCAGGAAAAAAAACTGTTTATTTTTGCCAGGAAAATACTTAGCGACCTCATCACTTAATGATTAAGTTGCTGGTCCCAGTGGTCACTAAACAAGGATTACCTGTACATCACTTAAATACAATCTGGAAGATATGAAGTTAGGAAAGCTGGCTTCATTTTAGGATGGTGTTCTGACCTAGGCTTCCTTAGAAAGTATAAAGCACAATATTAGTCCTGGTAAAACCTCTTTTATTTACATGGCTGTGAATTATTGTCATTCACAGTCCGCAAGGCTTCACAAACAGTCTTTCAAGAGAATGTTTATAAACACCCACCTTTTCTCCCTTGGAATGCTGCCAGAGAACTAATTGCCAAAGCAGGCCAAGGCCAAACTTGGCACAGAGTCAAACAGAACTTTTCAAAGCTTGAACCGACTAGATGGACTAATTGCTTTCTGCAAAAGCTCATGTCCAGTTCATTCCTCTTTTATGTCTTATGGGAGGGGCCAATCATCTCCAAGCCTTACTCCCAAGTTGACCCTGTTTTCTTAATTGTTCTTGTTTTCTGGCAGCTCTGCACATGTGCACACTGGGACAGGCTCCCCGCTGTTCTTCTGACTAGTTGATGTCAGACTCTGGAGGCTCCGGAGACTCCGGAGCAGTACATAACTATCAGATGGCCTTGGCCCCCTCTCTGCCTCTGATGCAGAGCCCTCGTCCAAGCTTTCCCCAACCCCCAGGACTGGCCCAAGTTCCTCCCCAACCTCCTCACTGTCCAACTCTGCTGCCAGCTCGGCTGGCCGCCGGCGGGCCACAGCAGGTGGATGAAGATGCAGATGCAGTCCCAAAGGAGCCTCTATCATGTGTACCAACCTGGTATCCAGCCTCAGTGACAATGAAGATGACCTCAAAATCTTTGCCCTTTCTGAAGGGCACCTGATGACTCTCTTGGCGTCCCCACCTGCCAGCCTGAAACGTGTTGAGTACAGTTTTCTTCTGAGCAATGTAAATTTTGAAGTGGAGAGCAATGTTGGCCCCATCATTCTGGTTAGAGGCTAAGTTTATCTCAAATCTAGAAGAGAAAGAAAGAGGGAAAAAAAGAGGGAAATACATTGGATGATGTGGGAATCTCAGAGTAGAATTCTGCCACCCCCTTCTCCTTTGCCCTGAAGCTAGACTCTCTGGGACAGCGCATGCTGGCTGAGGAATTTTGGGAGTTGAAGTCCACCTATCGTAAAGTGGCCAAGGTTGGAGACCCCTGCACTAGGATGCTGGTTTTTGGCTTGAAGAGAACAATCAAGTTCCTGCCCTTCATGGCTTAGTTGGAGTTGCAAGAAACAGGAAGTGGAACTATCTGAAGAACTAAGACAAGCTTTAGTCTTGACTTATAGTTTGAATTATATAAACCACCCTTAACAACATAATAGTCTTATTATTATTATTTTGAGTAAGGTAGAATCTTGCCCTTCCTGTGAGCTTTACCTGTCACTATTTTTGGGCACTGTGCCTTGCACATATACAAATATTCCAGGGTGAAGTCCACCGTGGACAGGATGATGGTAAGGGAGAATCTGGAAGACAGGAAATGATGAACCAAACCAATGACTTTATTGCAAAACCCAACTTTGACTTTCAAACCAGCCAACCTCAACCTGCATCAGCCTTTCTATACTGCTTCCAAGTCAACTGAACACCTCCTGAGAGAGCCTCTGCTAAAGATTAATCCCCCCACTAGTCAAGACTAGACTAGACTAGACTAGACTAGACTAGCTAGAATAGAATAGAATAGAATAGAATAGAATAGAATAGAATAGAATAGAATAGAATAGAATAGAATAGAATAGAATAGAATAGAATAGAATAGAATAGAATAGAATAACAGAGTTGGAAGGGACTTTGGAGGTCTTCTAGTCCAACTCCCTGCTTAGGTAAACCCTATAGCAGTGATGGCTAACCTTTTTGCCGTCACATGCCAAAAGCGGGGGGAGCGCACAGGGGTTGCACATGCATGTGCCCACACCCATAATGCAATGCCCCCCACTCGTCCCCCACACATGCGTGTGCAACCTCCTATGGCCTGTTTTGGACCTGGCAGGCCTTCCTGAAGCCTCCTGGGACTAAAAACAGGCCATGGGGGCATGCTATACCCCCCATGACCCATTTTGGTATGGGGGGGTGCGCCAGTCCCCCCATCCTCGTGCATGTGTGTGCAACCCACGCACATGCGCACATGTCTCCTGCATGCACTCTGCCCCCAAAATCTTTAGAGACCCAAAAATCAGCTGGCTAGTGGGAGATGCACGTGCATGTATGGCGGAGCTGAGCTGGGCGATGGCTTGCGTGCCCACAGAGAGGGCTCCGCGTACCACCTGTGGCACAGGTGCCATAGGTTCGCCATCATGGCCCTATAGCATTTCAGAAAACCGTATATCATTTCTATTGAGTGATCAGTGGATTGAGCATGACTGGCTGGATGCCAATCATTCACTCACTCACTCACTCACATTTATTTATTTATTTATTTATTTATTTATTTATTTATTTATTTATAATTATATTGCTGCCTAGTCACACATGGTGACTCAAGGCGGTTTACATGAATATCAGATCTCTCCCTGAACTGGAGGAGCCTCTAAGGAAAGGAGAAACATTGCAAAGTGCCAATTTGGTCAGGCTGGTGGGACCAAGATAGTGGTTTTGTTTTGTTTTGTTTAATTTGATTTATATGCCGCCCTTCTCCGGAGACTCAGGGCGGCTTACAATGCGCTAAGTTTGTCTTTTCCTCTGCATTTCTGGAGCTTTTATAGGAGAACCGTGTTTCATCTGTAGGCAAGTGGGGTGGCTGCTGCAACTGTGCACATTTGGTGGAAGGAATGAGTTCAAGGATGGGAATGAAACCCCAAACAAGTGTGGGAAGTTTGGCCAATTTGAGAGATAAGTGGCAAATATTTTCATTTCTCCCAATAGAAGAGAATACAGTTGGGCAGTAATAACATTTGGGGATTTGATTTCTTAATCTGGTCTGCTTTGAAGGGCTGACATCAGTCTTGAAAGTCTGAATTTGCTTCCCCCTCCCTTCTTTTACCTATGAGAGAAGGAGGGAAGGGTTGCAATTTTCCTGACAGTATTTTGGAAATGGTCTACCTTTGCCTCATTCCGAGGGTTGACAGGATTAATCACTGGATTAATTTGGAGTTATGCTTAACCCCCTGGATTGAAAATGGCTGATCAATCTTTATAGTAGGTGCAAATTCATTTGTTGTTCTTTTAATATCCTCCCCTCCAAATATTTAAAAGGGTTTTAGATATTCATGTGGTTTTGTAGAAAGATCAAGATGGTTTAAGTTGGCTGGGGTGTTTTGTGGAAGTGATGCCTAACTCTGCAGAAAGAGAGAAGGCATGGCTGAGCCTGGAGGTGGCATTAAAAGAGGGATAGAACTGAGATGACTACATAGTCAGAAGTGGACAAAGTCCAACCCCATTGAATTCTATTGACCCTTGTCTACCTTCCAGCAGATGCTAACTGTTAGTTGAGACTATTCATGAGTAGCAATAAATCAGTTTAATTCGATTTTCATGTGTGGACCTAATCTTTCCAGCCTGAAACCGTCACTAACCATCACTAATTATAATTATATGATTGCTATCTTCAAACTTGCATTCCAAGATATATCTTTCAATTCACCAGATGGAAATGTGCCTTTCTTTTGATAACATGGGCTGATTCCTTTGAAGTTCAAAGCTGATAATTGAAAAACAATAACCTACACGCCACAGCAAAAATCACATACATTGTGAACTTCCTTCCTTCCTGACTCAATTCACCACAAATCAGAAGACGGCATAATGAACATCTCATTCCTTGCCATCCTTCCTCAAATGGACCTCCTTGACTGAGATCTAAATTCCCCTCCCCCATTTGCTGATCAGTTCCTGGGGCAGGGAAATCTTGACCCCCAATATGGCCGCTAGATTTATTTTGAAGGGATCAGTTATTGGAAAGGAAGGTTAAAAACAGGCAGAATATTTTGGCTCTTCCACTTATGATGATGTTCTGGGGATTCTGGAGATGCTTTTGATTTAGGTGGAATAAAGATAAGAGGGATGTGTCAGGGTTCCAAGTAACAGCCCATAGGAAATCAAAACTCCAAGGCAGGGTTCCTCAAAGTATAGATTTATTAGGCATGTCATATTAACACAGTTGGTGAAAACCCGAATCTGAAGTCCCCCAGGTTTTCCCCACCCCTTCAAAATCCAAAGTTCTTCCCCCCCATTACACACAACTATCACATGTCCCAATCAGGTCTCTCTCCCATCCTGGATGCCTCCCATCCATTCCCCTCCAGGTGCTGGTGAGAATGTCCTTGGTTCCCAGAAGAAAGAATGTTATTTTGACTACATATTCCCCTCAGCTATCTCTACTCCCACACACTCTTTCCCACAGCTCCAGCCAGCCTCACTGTGGCAACCCTGAAGACGCTCAAAGACAGCTCCAGGGTTGGCAGAATGCGTGTTCAGATCAAAGAAGAATATGAAAGAAAGCAATGGCAGAAAATAAACAGAAGGTACTTACTATTTTTCCATCTAAATCATCAGTGAACATACTCTAAAATGTAAACAAAAGGATACCTTTATAAATATGGTGTGGCTGTGAATCCTATGAGAATTTGTGTGCATCAGGCCTGGGCCACTACAGTTTGTTCAAATCAAGAGTGGGTCCAAGAGGGCCACAGAGGGTATTAATGTCAATGGGGTGGTTTGAGCAGAGTAGATCAAGCCATCCCAACCAAAAGGAATAGGCAACATCAACAAATACAGTGATTGCAGTGATCTAAGGAAATGGCTATTTTCCAATAATCCAACAATCCAAATGTTGGATTATTACATGACTTCTTTTACCATGCTGTCAGTTGCCATCTTCGATAAGGCATATCATATATTGATAATTATACTTGTATTTCATCCCTCATAACATAGGGTGATCAGGGCTAAAAAGATGCACATGAATTAAGATTGTTCTTTGAAGGTGTTGGAAGAAATGTCCATCTGGGTTCAGTTCCAAGTGGGGAGAAAGACACTGGAAACATGGAGGCTGCTTGGAAGGATGGTTTAATAGTGAACAGGACCACATGGGTTTGAAGTCCTGGGTAGCTGAACACATTGAGTGGAGAATGTGTGCTATTTATACCCTCACTTGGGCTTTGAAGTTGAGCTTCCTGTTCCTGTGGCAAGGGCAAGTATCCTATTGGCTGTCAGACTCCCAGGGGGTGGGGGTCTTAGCTAACTTTGTAGGCTGTCTGTATCCCAAGCTTGGTTGAATCTTGCTGGGTGATGTAATGAAGGGGCTTTGGGCAATTCCTGTAGTGGCTGAGGACTAATCCTACCTTTGTTGGAGCTTGGGTATTTATTATGAATAAACCTAGCCATCTCATTATCTCTTAAGTGCTGACATCTGCTGTAGGTTATTGAGGAAGGTGGAGGCTATTAAGAGTGAGTCTGCTTCCTGCCTCAAAAAACAAGTTTTTCCATTTCTCATCCAGGGAAATATAATATTCTGCCTTTTTAATGTTTCCTAGAATATTTTATTCTTCTAGGAGAGGGGTAGGTGTTAACTTTCTACAAAGGTTTTACTGTTTTCATAAGCAAAGGATTTGGGGAACTTCTACTTTCAAAAAGTCATATTATAAATCAGCTCTTGTAAAGAGTTATTTCTTTTTCTGTATATATTTCTTTAATCAACTGATAGCTTTAAAAGACTGATAGGACTACCCATCTTAGTGAAGCCAGAATCTTTCAAATTTTGATAATACAGTAGTCATAGTGATGCCCTCTTTCAAATATTCTCAAGAATGTATAATTTCCTGCTGAAATGTCTGGGAGCGGGATGGGGGTGGGTGGGAATGAGTCTCAAGAGAGCTACTGTGGTCATAGAAAGATAACATAGAAAACATAGAAGAAATGAGACAAGTTATGTATGTATCTAAAGGTAAAGGTAAAGGTTCCTCTCGCACATATGTGCTAGTCATTCCCGACTCTAGGGCGTGGTGCTCATCTCCATTTCAAACCCAAAGAGCCAATGCTGTCCGAAGATGTCTCCATGGTCACGTGGCTGGCATGACTAAATGCCAAAGGCGCACGGAACGCTGTTACCTTCCCACCAAAGGTGGTCCCTATTTTTCTACTTGAATTTTTAATGTGCTTTTGAACTGCTAGGTTGACAGAAGCTGAGACAAGTAGCGGGAGCTCACCCCATTACGTGGCACTAGGGATTCGAACCACTGAATGCCAACCTTTCAATCGACAAGCTCAGCGTCTTAGCCACTGAGCCACCTTTTAAGTGTGTATCTACTTACCATCAGTTTAGACAGTCCTTTGCCACCATTAGCTTTCTTGATAATAGGTATTATCTTTTCTCCAATTGACTATAAGTAAGAATAAAAACCATTATGGATTCCTTCAGAAGATTCACCAATGCATGATACATGTGGGTCTTGCCTGGGACACAGCAGCCCACTAGAATAAACTGGTGATCCTTTGAGGGCCATGGAGGATATTGATGTTTTATTTATTTTATTTTATTTTTTATTTTAATTTGATTTATATGCCGCCCTTCTCCGGAGACTCAGGGCGGCTTACAGTGCGTTAAGCAATAGTCTTCATACTTTTGTATATTTATACAAAGTCAGCTTATTGCCCCCACAAACTGGGTCCTCATTTAACCTACCTTAGAAAGGATGGAAGGCTGAGTCAACCTTGAGCCTTGGAGAGATTCGAACCAGCAGTAAATTGCAGGCAGCTGTGTTAATAACAGGGTGCTTTAAACCACTGTAGTACCAAGGCTGAGGGTCGAGCTGAGGATTTTGTGCAGTATCTGTATGACAAAATCGCTCAGATTCGGGAAGGGCTGGCCTCTGACTGGGTATGTCCAGATGGGATGACTGAGGCAGGTCTTGAGAGTGTTATCTGGGGGGAGTTTGATCCTGTGGCTCCCGAGGACATGGACAGGGTCCTGGGACGGCTGAACGCGACCACATGTTTATTGGACCCGTGTCCCTCCTGGTTGGTACTGGCTTCCCGGGAGGTGACACGAGGCTGGCTCCAGAAGATTGTTAACGCTTCTTTGAGTGAGGGAGTCCTGCCGGCCGCTTTGAAAGAAGCGGTGGTGAGGCCCCTCCTCAAGAAGCCTTCTCTGGATCCGGCTGTTTTGGCTAACTATCGTCCAGTCTCCAACCTTCGCTTCATTGCGAAGGTTGTTGAGAGTGTGGTGGCGCAACAGCTTCCCCGGTACCTGGATGAAGCTGTCTATCTAGACCCGCTCCAGTCCGGCTTCCGGCCTGGGCACAGCACGGAAACGGCATTGGTCGCATTGGTGGATGATCTCTGGAGGGCCCGGGATAGGGGTTGCTCCTCTATCCTGGTCCTGTTAGACCTCTCAGCGGCTTTTGATACCATCGACCATGGTATCATGTTGCACCGGTTGGCGGGGTTGGGGGTGGGAGGCACCGTTTTGCGGTGGTTCTCCTCCTACCTCTCTGACCGGTCGCAATCTGTGTTGACAGGGGGGCAGCGGTCGACCCTGAGGCACCTTGCTTGTGGGGTGCCACAAGGGTCGGTCCTCTCGCCCCTTCTGTTCAACATTTATGTAAAGCCGCTGGGTGAGATCATCCGTGGCTTCGGGGTGGAGTTCCATCAGTACGCTGATGACACCCAGCTGTACATCTCCACCCCAGGCCACCCCAATGATGCCCTTAAAGTGATGTCCCAGTGCCTGGAGGCTGTGCGGGCCTGGATGGGGAGAAACAGGCTCCAACTCAACCCCTCCAAGACCGAGTGGCTGTGGCTTCCGGCGTCCCGATATAGCCAGCTGACGCCATCGCTGGCTATTGGGGGCGAATCACTCGCCCCCATGGAGAGGGCTCGTAACTTGGGCGTCCTCCTGGATGCACGGCTGTCGTTAGAAGATCATTTGGCGGCCGTAGCCAGGGGGGCTTTTTATCAGGTCCGCCTGATACGCCAGTTGCGCCCCTTTCTAGATCGGGACTCCCTACGCACAGTCACTCAGGCACTCGTCACTTCCCGCCTGGACTACTGCAACGCTCTCTACATGGGGCTCCCCCTGGGGTGCACCCGGAGGCTCCAGCTGGTCCAGAACGCGGCCGCGCGGGGGATTTTGGGGGCGACGAGGCGCTCCCACATGACACCTCTCCTGCGCGAGCTGCACTGGCTCCCGGTGGTCTTCCGGGTGCGCTTCAAGGTGTTGGTGACCACCTTTAAAGCGCTCCATGGCTTAGGGCCGGGGTACTTACGAGACCGCCTTCTGCCACCAATAGCCTCCCACCGGCCAGTACGCTCCCACAGAGTGGGCCTCCTCAGGGTGCCGTCCGCCAGACAATGTCGGCTGGTGACCCCCAGGGGGAGAGCCTTCTCTGTGGCGGCGCCCACCCTCTGGAACAACCTCCCCCCAGAGCTACGTACAATAACAGACCTCCGGATTTTTCGTCGGGCCCTAAAAACCCATTTATTTCAATTAGCTGGGCTGGCTTGAGTCAAATTTTAAACGGATTTTAAATTGGAATGTTTTAATTACGGCCAAAATTATTTAATTATTTTAAACAGATTTTAGATTTTGTATGTTTTGTATGTATGTCTATGTATGTCTTGTTTTTACTTTGGCTGTTCACCGCCCTGAGTCCTACATTGGAGAAGGGCGGTATAGAAATTTAAACAAATAAATAAATAAATAAATAAATAAATGATTTCACAACACCAGAGAAGGTACATAAAGCACATCAACCCTTTGAGGTAGGCAAAGTCACGGAAAGTGATGGCAGGGATTCAAGGAAAACCATTAAAGGGCTTTTGGGTATATCAGCAGAAACTTGTTAGCCTATCCAAAACTTCACTACTCCTTTTCAAGGAGAACAAGGTCAAGCTGGCTTTCCAAAATATATTCTGATAAAATTAACCCTGGGAAGGGAAATGGGGAAAGGCGTCCGACATTTGAGCCAAACAATTTACCATTTCGCAGAGAGAAAAACCACAAGAAAGGGAAAAGAAACTTTGAAGAAACCCACCCCACCCAAAAAGTGACACTTGGGGACAGTTCCAAAATATAAGTTTCTCCCTTTGCTACTTGGTACCCAGGAGTACCATCACCCTAGGTTGGGAGTCGATGTTGATTTAAGGGGCACAATAGATATTTGAAGCTGCTTTAAAAAGGAAAGTTGAAAGAGATGAAATGTTTTGGTCCTGCCTGTTCAGTTTCTGCTCTGGGGTCTCTAAAGAGCATCCAGTTTTGGTCACCACACTATAAAAAAGATGTTGAGACTCTAGAAAGAGTGCAGAGAAGAGCAACCAGGATGATTTGGGGACTGGAGGCTAAAACATATGATGAACGGTTGCAGGAACTGGGCATGGCTAGTCTAGAGAAGAGAAGGACCAGGGGAGACAAGATAGCAGTCTTCCAATATTTGAGGGGCTGCCACAGAGAGGAAGGAGTCAAGATATTTTCCAAAGCACCTGAAGGCAGACAAGGAATAATGGATGGAAATTGAACAAGGAGAGATTCAACCTAGTAAATGAGAACTTTTCTGAAGTGAAAACAATCAACCGGTGGAACAGCTTGCCTTCAGAAGTTGTAGGAGCTTCATCACTGGAGGCTTTCAACAAGAGATTGGACTGCCATCTGTGAAAAATGGTGAAGGGTCTGCTTGGGTGGGGGGGTTGGACTAGATGACCTACAAGGTCCCTTCCAACTCTGTTAATCTGGAAGATGCATTCTGGAAGATGCGAAATAACAAAAGAGAGCATGCATGAAGAATATTACCCAAAGGAAGGACAGAAGGTGAACAAAATCTACTTACTATTAACTCAAAAATATTAACTTGATCTGTACCCATAGTCTGTAAGGGAAACCAAATATATTACTTTTATTTGAAAAGACATCACACATGATTTCTCTAAGTGTGGTACCACTGCCATCTTTGATAACATATATGTGTATCGCTTCATTCTATAAATAAGATACATGTGTTTCTTACCAGAACAGGGACTGATAGGCCCAAAAAGTAGTGGTGAAATCCAAATTTTTTTACTACCGGTTCTGTGGGCATGGCTTGGTGGGTGTGGTGTGGCTTGGTAGGTGTGGCTTGGTGGGCTTGGCAGGGGAAGGATACTGCAAAATCCCCATTCCCTCCCTACTCCTGGGGGAAGGATATTGCAAAATCCCCATTCCTTCCCCACTCCTGGGGGAAGGATATTGCAAAATATCCATTCCCGCCTCACTTTGGGGCCAGCCAGAGGTGGCATTTGCTGGTTCTCTGAACTATTCAAAATTTCCATTACCGGTTCTCCAGAACCTGCTGGATTTCACCCCTGCCAAAAAGGCACAAATGAATGAATTGTGTTCTGAAACATTTCATTTTCTTTCCATTATTCTTCCACTTTCACACAATCAAAATCTGCACAGAGAATCCAATGGAATTACTCTTGCATTGAATTTCTCCCTCAAAAGATAAGATGCTTGCTGACAAAAGAGATCCGTTAATAGAAAAGGGCAGTTGGTGTTCAAAATGTTTGGGAACCTGGTTTTAAATCTCTACATTCCATATTTGTAATCCTCCATTTACAATTGTTTGCTTAGCGACCCTTTGAAGTTATGTTTGACTTCTCTTGGGGTATTGTTTTTTTTATTTATTTATTTATTTATTTCATCAAGCATGTATTTCATGACAGATACAAGTGTAAATATAATTATAAATACATGAAAAGGATACGAATAAAAGAAAACATCAGGACAGGGACGGTAGGCACACTGGTGCACTTATGCACGCCCCTTAAAGACCTCTTAAGAATGGGGTGAGGTCTACAGTAGACAGTCTAAGGTTAAAGTTTTGGGGATTTGGGGAAGAAATCACAGAGTCAGGTAGTGCATTCCAGGCGTTGACCACTCTGTTGCTGAAGTTGTATTTTCTGCAATCGAGTTTGGAGTGGTTTGCCTTGAGTTTGTATCTATTGTGTGCTCTTGTATTGTTTTGGTTGAAGCTGAAGTATTCGTTGGCTGGTAGGACATTGTAGCAGATGATTTTATGTACTATGCTTAGATCAGACCGAAGACCTGTTTGAAAAACTGTTTGAAGACCTGTTTGAAAGTTCTGATGGCCACCCCTGCCCCTGTGGTCACATGGCTGCATTTCAGGAAATCAACAGGGGACACAAATCTCAGCAACTGCAAGATGACACAATGAAGCACATGGCATGGCTTGCCCTTCTTTTCCACAGGCACACCCACAGCTGAGACCTGGGCCTTGCCTTTGCTACTGATTCCCAGAGGAAACATCACCCCAATTTGGCACTTATTAAAGGGATAAATTGTTTCAGAAAGTAAGCCGGTGCAATGTTTTGATCCTGAATCAGCGGTGGGTTTCCTATTATATTATTACCGGTTCGTTGCGCATGCTTGCTTCGTGCATATGTGCACCCGGTTCATGCACATGCCTGCCTTCCAGGCATGCACCCGGCCTTCAGCGCATGTACCTGGTCTTCTACGCATGTGCCTGGCCTCAAAAACATGGTTAAGTAGTATGCCATAGAATCTGGGTGGGTGGGCAGGCCCACCCACGATTTCCGCTACCGGTTTGGGCGAACTGGTCCGAACCGGCTGAATACCACCTCTGCCTTGAATGCTCTGTTCATGCTCTGGAGTTTCTGGAGATGCTTTCTGGGAGGGGTACAATCACAAAAGTGGGGGCTTCACTGCATGCAAGAAGAATATCACTCAACAAAAAGGCAGAAAGTGAAGAAAGAGCTACTTACCATTAATTTTCCAATTTCTTCTGCATTCAAAGCATTCTAGAAAGGAAACAAACACATCAAATTCTATTCTGATGTGAAGACACCCAGGACTTCTCTGTCCCTGCCATCACTACCATCTTGGATATCATTTACATGAATTGCTGCTTCCCTCCGCTTAGAAAACACACCTTTCTTATCACAACAGGGTGTATTTAATCTTTAAAAAACCAAATTTGAATTAAGAGTATTCTGAGGCGTCTTTTTCCTTTTCTTTCTCTTTTGAACTTTCTGCAACATTCACGGAACCAAAATATGCATGAGAAATCTGAGGAATAATGGTTGTATCCCTGCACGAACAGGTAAGAGGATTGCTTAGAAAAGGGAAGCTTTAACAGACATGGCTTTTGGGGGACAACACTGTTAGCCCTACTTATTCACATTTCATGACTGAACTTTGGTTCACTTTAGTTATACATCTGCATAGGAAAGACATCCTTTAATCATTTCTTTAATTTAACTTCACATGGCCGCCCTTTCCTTTACCTTCTCTACTTCTTCTTCCTCCAAGTAACTTCAAATCTATATATATATAAGCCAAATACCACTCATTCATCACAGAATCTCCAGAATGGTAAAGCCTACAAACTTGAAATTTGGCACGTATGTTCCTCTTGGTTTCTAGGTGCTCGCTAAGAAAGGATTTTTCAAAATGACCATCAGATCATTAGTATTTCATACACAATATTATATTCACATGCTCTGATTCTAAGGAGTTGGACCAGTGGTGAAATCCAATTTTTTTTACTACTGGTTCTGTGGGTGTGGCTTGGTGGGCATGGTGTGGCTTGGTGGCTGTGGCTTGGTGGCACGGCAGGGGAAGAATACTGCAAAATCTCCATTCCCACCCCACTCCAGGGGAAGGATACTGCAAAATCCCCATTCTCTCTCCACTCCTGGGGGAAGGATATTGCAAAATCTCCATTCCTACCCTACTTTGGGATCAGCCAGAGGTGGTATTTGCCAGTTCCCTGAACTACTCAAAATTTCCACTGCCAGTTCTCCGAACTGCTCAAAATTTCCACTACCGATTATCCAGAACCTGTCAGAACATGCTGGATTTCATTGCTGAGTTAGATGTTCTACTCCCCCTCCCCACCTGAAAGGAACTCTGTCCCAACTGCCAGTTGCCTTACATTAACATGCTCTGATGCTACCCCTTCGCTACACCGGGCGTGGGTGGGGCCAGCAAGTGACTCATCCGGCCTGCGGGCTGGGACATTCTACTCCCCCTCCCCCTCTGTTCCAACTGCCAGTTGCCTTATATTAATATGCCGTGATGCTACACATTCTAAATTAAGGTTCAGGCTTTAATCAATTTATCACACCCGATCACATAGTTTTGTAGTGAAGCACCGGCGTTCAGCTAGTGTGAAATATATTCATTATTAAATATGAAGACTTATGTCCCCACCTAGATGTATTCTTCTTCATTTTCAATGTAGCCATGTGAGAAAAAGGGGCTGATGAAATCCCAGAATAACATCTACTTCCTCCTTCCAACTGCTACAACAATGTCAGCTCAGATCCAGAACATTTTCTGGTCAGAAAAACTTCCTAAAAAGATCTAGGTCATCCTGAGCCCTAAAAACCCTTATTTTTTTTACCACTCAAGCCACCCCCACCCAGCAAACTTTGGGAACTGTTGGAGGTGGGCATTTTTTTGAAGAATGAGATGAGTATCATAGATTTCATCATACAATAAGATAGGTATCCTCCATTGTATTTATCTGCTAAATTTTGGTGAGGTGGAATCCAAAACAGGAATCTGAAAACAGCTGCTTGATCACCTGCAAGAAAAATATTTCACATGGAAAAGGGAGAAGATGATCAAAGATCTACTTACAATAATTTTCAATGTATGTTCCTCACTCAGTTCATTCTACAAGGGAAACAGAGGGTATCATCACAGAAAACAAGTCACATATGAGAACATATGTGACTTTTCCAACCAAGCTGTTTCTGCCATCTCATATATCTTAAAAATAAATGTGTTCATTCTCCAGATAGCAAACATACATTTTGCTATCTCCAGATAGCAAAAATTAATAGTATTGTGAGGCCCCTTGTTCTTTTCTTTCTCTTTTCAATGTTTTTCCTTTCACACAACCCACAATATGGGGGTAAAAATGAGAATATTTGTAGCTTAGAGTTGAAATGAGGGGTCTTTGGTGCTCTCTGGTCTCAGTTGTTTTCTTGCAGATGTTTTATTACCCAAACTAGGTAACACTGATGATGTTACCTAGTTTGGGTAATAAAATGTCACCAAGAAAACACTCAAACTCAGAGAGCACCAAAGACCTCTCACAAGTACAATATGAACAGAGAAACCTGAATCAAAATCAGGGGTGAAATTCAGCAGGTTCTGGTAGGTTCTGGAGAACCAGTAGCGGAACTTTTGAGTAGTTTGGAGAACCGGCAAATACCACTTCTGGCTGGCCCCAGAATGGGGTGGGAATGGAGATTTTGCAATATCCTTCCCCTGCCACGCCCACCAAGCCACACCCACAGAACCGGTAGTAAAAAAAAAACTGAATTTCACAACTGATCAAAATGCTTGTATTGAATGTGTTAGGATATGGTGTAAGCCTAACAGGTTGTCCAGGCAATATATGGACAATATATGTGTTCTATGACTTTAACATGAATATGTATTCTATGACTTTAATAAGTACTGCTGAGTCATTGTAATGCTGAGTCATTGTATCCTGATTGGATAAGCTCTGTTGTAACTGTATTTAAGAAGGGAGCTGAAATGTAGTCATTGATGATATGCTATCATCGTGTGTGGATATGCTATCATCATGGGTGGATATGCTACCATCGTGACCTGTTACCAGTGTGAATGTGCTGCTGTTTATTACCTACTGCTGTTTTGTATGGTAAGAAGACTTTTGTATCACTGGACTGATTTGACTGGCAAAGACTTGGATTGATTAAAGACTATGAGATTGTTTTTCACTACACAGTAAAAACTTTGATAAACCAGTTTGTATGTATTTTATTCATCGCTCTCAGCACCGTTTTCCTGTGCTCTCTGCTCTGCTGGTTGGTTAACACAACAATATCCTTAACAGAATGTATATATGAACACAAAAGAGGGTTTGAGAGAAAAGAGGTGCTTTGATATACATGTCTCTTGGGGTTAAAATTCTTTGGGGAATATGCACTATGTGTCTTCATTTCATAGGTGAATTTAGATTCTTATGCATATCTTGATATTTATTCCATGACCGAGTTATATCAGTAAACTGTAAACTGTAATCAGTAAACTGTAGGAAATTCATATCTATTACAAAAAATAGATATGAGAAAATGAGGGGCCATCCTGTGCTACATAAAGTAGGTCTTTCCGCAACTGTGACGCAAAAATGATGAGTGCCAAGATGTCATCACAGAAAAGAAATGCCAGGTTGCCAACACCCCTCACAATTGCAGCATAACAACATCTTGCACACATGATCACTTGTCCTTCTTCCATACAAGGACATCCATGTCTGAGATCAAAATCTTCTTCTTTCATCCTCAGCCCCAAAACCTCTGTCCAATTTAGCTGGTGCATTTTTATTATTATTATTTTTTTGGGAGTGGTGCGGTGGCCTAGAGGTGGAGTTCTTGCCTCACAATCAGGAGGCTGTGAGTTCGATCCTAGGTAGAGGCAGATATTTCTTTCTCTGGGCACAATGAGAATATTTCTGCTGAAGAAAACTCCGCATTGGCAACAGGGAGGGCATCTGGTCAGTAAACACTCAACTCCATTCAGTTGCCCAGACTCTACTCCACAAGGGATTATGGGGTCATTAAAAGAAGAAGATGATGATTTTTTAAAAAATTTTGGCTTCAAAGGGGATCAATTGGTTGCTTTAAGCTGCTTAAAAACAAATGTAAAAACAAGTTATTTGCTGGGTTTGTCCTCTCAGGACTCTGAAGATGCTCTAAGTACTGAGTGAAGGAAAATAAAAAAGATCCTTGTTCAGACGCAAGAAGAAATTCAATAAAGAACTGGAAGAAGATACATCAAAGCTACTTACTATGAATTCAACTAGAGGACCATGTTTGATGAATGCCTTCTGCAAAGGAAACAAAGGGGATCAGTTCTATTCTGATAAGATAATTATCACTAAATGTCTATGGAGATTCTCAGTCATCCAGATCATGGTTGTCCCAAAGGTGAACTTCAGATCTGAAGAAACTTCTTGGATGAGAAACGAAATGTCTTCAAGGAAAAAACAAAGAAAGTCCAGTTGCCTCTTGAAAAAGAACCTTTGGGATAACTATCACTAATGATTACTATATCATCACAGATAACTTCAATACCATATGTCAATTTCAACTATATCTTTCATTCTCCAGATAGCAGCTATGCTTTTCTAATCACAAACGGAGTGGTAAAGCCTAAAAGATGCATGAATTAGCAATCTGAGACTTGCTTTTGTGAGCAAAAAGGGTTTGTGATCCCCCCACTTAAAAGAGACATGATTGTGCAGCTCTTCTAAAAAATTTCCTGACATCTTCATTTAAGCCTGTCTCCTAAATTACAGGGAAGACCTGTGAAACCAGACTTTCTCCTATTTAACAATATTCAAAAGGATGCCCTCCTTGAAATACTCCTAAGAGCTGATAAATTCCTGCTCAAGAGAGCTGATCTGGTCATATCTAAGAAGGATAACCTACAAGACGTAGAAGAAATGAGAGACCTTAAGTGTGTGTCTACTTACTAGCGATTTATATATCAGTTTATGACCATGTGATATTCTTTTAAAAACAGTTAACATCTTCTGCATGACGTCCTACAAGGAAGGGGAAAAAAAAAACCATTATCCTCTTTTATAGATTCCTTCATAAGTACGCTGTACCAGTGCATAATATGAGCATCTGGATGGCCCTTGCCTTGGCTACGGTAGCCCATTAAAATAAACTGGTGAACCCCTTGAGGGACACAGAGGATATTAATGTAAATGGCCCTACATCACCAGAGAAGGTACATAAAGCCACATCAACCCTTTGAGGTAGGCAAGGTCAAGGGAAGCCGTGCCAGAGATTCCAGGAATGCTACTATATTCTTGTCAGATTTAGTAGCAGAATCTACCATCCAAAGCCTACATTATTTCTTTTTAAAGACAATAAAGTCAAGCTGGTGCTACACTGACTCACTTCCTCATCCGTTCTACTTACCCAGAGCTGAACAACCATTTTTTTTTCTCCTTCCCCTTCTCAAGGCCAGAGCTGAATTTCCCTACAAGCCATAACCTGACCTGAATACTGAAACTCTGTTTTTATCACTCAATCTTAAATCTGAGTGCAATTTGGATCTCACAGTTAAGTTCAAATCATTTGGCATTTTGCAAAGGGGAACAATCATAAGCAGAGAAAATAAAATTTGTAGGGACCCTTCCCACACCAAACATTTCAGCCAGGGATAGTTTCCAAAGGGCTTGAGGCAGGGGTGAAATCCAGCAGGTTCTGACAGGTTCTGGAGAACTGGTAGCGGAAATTTTGAGCAGTTCAGATAACCAGTAGCGGAAATTTTGAGTAGTTCGGAGAGCTGGCAAATACCACCTCTGGCTGGCCCCAGAGTGGGGTGGGAATGGATATTTTGCAATATCCTTCCCCTGGAGTGGGGAGGGAATGGAGATTTTGCAGTATCCTTCCCCTGCCATGCCCACCAAGCCACGCCCACCAAGCTACACCATGCCCACCAAGCCAAGCCCACAGAACCAGTAGTAAAAAAATTTGGATTTCACCACTGGCTTGATGACATACAACAAAGTGAAGATACGGTAGGTTAAGGAGCTAGAGTTATATGATTATAACAACTATAATGCAGTGGTGAAATCTAAAATTTGTTACTACCGGTTCTGTGGGCGTGGCTTGGTGGGGGGGTAATGTGACTGGGTGGGCATGGCCATTTTTTAAAAAAAATATTAAAACCATTTTTTCTACAACCTCCTCGGCGAAGAGGTTGTAAAAAAATGTTTTCAAAAGCCTCTGCCGATCTGGCAACTCAGCTTGGATTATCAGAGGTATTTTTAAAAAAAAGGGTTTTTTTTTTTCTTTTAAATGCCTCTGACGATCCAAGCTGAGTTTTTTTAAAAAGCCTCTGCCAATCAGGCAACTCAACTTGGATCGTCAAAGGCATTTAAAAAAAAAGGGGGGGGGTTCTTTTAAAAGCCTTTGACGATCCCAGCTGAGCTGCCCGATCATCAGAGGCTTTTTTTTTTTACTTTTAAAAGAATTTTTTCGGCCGAAGAGGTTGTAGAAAAAATGCTTTTAAAAGTTTTTTAAAAAAAGCCTCTGATGATTGTGCGGCTCAGCTGGGCATGGTGGGGGGGCAGGGATTTTTGCTACCGGTTCTCCGAACCACCCGCCTCCATCGCTACCGGATTGGGCGATCCGGTCCAAACCGGCAGCATTTCACCCTTGCTATAATGTATTAGTCAACCTAGAGAGTGTTTCTCAACTTCGACAACTTTAAGATATGTGGACATCAACTCCAAGCTGTACATATTCAGTTCCTTCAATCTCTCCTCATATGTTTTGTTCCTCAAACTTTATATCTTTTTTATTGCTCATCTCTGGACTTGTGCAATATATTTTTTTAAGGAGGTCTCCAGAACTGGACACAGGATTCCAAATGAGATCTGACTAAATCCCTACATTATATAGCAGGAATAGGACCATCTTTTTCCCTGGCCACGCTCTTTACTCATTTGGCAGTCTTCTGCACTAAATTCTCATGCAAGGAGAATATTTCACAAGGAAAGAACAGAGGATGAACAAAGCGGCATTTACCAGGAAATCAGCCATTCCACACTCACTTTCTATACAATCCTGCAAAAAAAACAAAACATATTACTTCAGTTGTGACATGACATCACGGATGGCTTCCCTAATCCAGGTACTGCTGTGCAACATGGGCAACTATCTTTGAAATAAAGAAATAGCCATGCTATTACTACCATCTCTTGTATTACACATGTGAATCACTTTCAACATTCCACTTTTACACATTCAAAATTTGCACAGAGAATCCAGTGGAATAATGACTTAGGACAGGGGTGTCAAACTCAAGGTCCATGGGCCGGATCTGGCTCACAGAGTGCTTAGATCTGGCCTGTGCCCCACCCCTGGAAACAGTAAAGGACTGGCCCACAGTGCCTTTGCCAGCGAAAATGGAGCTCAGGAGGGCCACCTCTAGGGGGATGGTGCTCATCTTCGATTCACAGCTGAAGAGCCAGTGTTGTCCAAAGATGCTTCCATGGGAATTTGGCCAGAATGACTCTATGCTGAAGGTGCATGGAACCCTGTTACCTTCCCACCAAAGTGGTACCTATTTATCTATTTGCATTTGCATGCTTTTCATCTGTTAGGTTGGCAGGAGCTGGGGCAAGGAACTGCAGCTCACTCCATCACTCAGTACCTTCTGCTCAACAAGTCCAGTGTCTTAACTGTTCACTCACCATGCTCTGTTTTTTTGGGGGAAAAAAAGCTACTTACCATTAATTTTTGACGATCATAGTCATCCAAAGCATTCTACAAGGTAAACAAACAAGTCAAATTCTATACTGACATGAACACATGCAAGACGTCTCTATCTGTCCATGGCCTCACTACTATCTGTCAAGGTTCCAAGTAATATGCCCATAGCAAGCAGAACTCCAAGGCAAGCAGGTTCCTCAAAGAACAGATTTATTGGATATATCATATTGATACAGACTGGTGAAAACCGACTATAAAGGTTCTCATGGTTTTCACCTAATTAAAAGTTATTTCCCCCTTTCCCAAACAATCAGTCACATGGTCCAATCAGAGTGCTGTCCGTTGCTTGGAAACTTCACTCCTCCTCTTTCAGCCACCTGTGGTTCTGGCCTTGGTTCTCAGGAGAAACTATTTTGTTTTGGCTACAAAACCCCATCTATCTCTATTCTCCCCTCCCTATCCCTCAGCACCATTGTGGCAACACTGAAGCCTCAAAGATGGCCTCAGTCAGGCCAATTTCAGAGTTGGCACCATCTTAGATAGCATTTACATGAACTGCTGCTTTCTGCCACTTAGGAAAGACACATTCCTTATCACAACAGGGATTGATTCTAAAGAAAAAAACAATTTGAATTGAATTCTAATTCTAAAAACAATTTGAATTAATAGAATTCTGAGGAGTCCTTTTTTTCCCCCCCTCTTTTCAATGTCCTTTTACATTCACTGGATGTAATATGCTTTGAGAAGCCCAGGGAATAATGGTGCTTCCCTATACATCAACATACAAGATGATTGCTTAGAAAAGAGGAGCTTTACCAGCCATGACCAATCACTTTACTTCAGTTCCTATTAGCTATATATCTACACATGTAAATCATCCTTATGGTGGAATGCTGTTTTTTTTATTCCATTTCACCTAGACCCCCTCTCTGCTACCGTCTCTGCTTCTTTCTCCTCCAAGTAGGTTCAAATATGAAATATACTCATGATTAAATTTGCAGATTTCTGTCTCTGCTTATAAGTGCTCTTATAAGGAAGGAAAAAGGGATACTGAAATCCCACAATGGCATCTTATTTCCTCTTCCAACTGCTTCAAGAGTGTCAGCTCAAATTCAGAGCAGTTTCTGGTTAGAAAAAGTTCACAAAAAGATTTATCTGAGTCCTAAAATCCTTATATCAGTACTCAACATACTCCCTACTCACTTTCCAACTTTGTCAATGTGGGGTGGTGTGTGTGGATATTTGGGGGTGAGTGGAAATATGTATGTCTGTCTTTCTGTCTTTCTCTCTGTGTCTGTCTGTCTGTCTCTCTCTATATCATATATCGATCGATCGATCGATCGATCGATAGATACTTATCTGTGTATATATAGAGATATAGATATTGTTGTGTCCCCGTCTCACACATGCACACAAACAGACAGCTGGAGGTTAAATAAACTGGCAGACAACCAATTTTTCTGATAAGATGCTTGGCAGCAACCCAGTAGCTGCTTGTGAAGAACTTTTACTCAATAAACAAAATACACACAGTCAAGAATTGTCCATTTCGTAAAATAAATCCAAGGCCAATAATGTTGTTTCCAAAGATGCAATGTGACTCGATAGTAGTTAGTTTTATCCATCATAGAGTCTGAATGGCCACCTCACCTCCTTTTATACCCTCTGGGGTGTGGTCCAGTGACTCAGCCTAATCTCTGGTACGCCTTTTCTTCTGTTGCGTGCGCTTATCTCTGCGATGATGCCAAGACTCATTACCCTCATCACTGTCCACCTGTGGCTGCATGGACGTGCTTGGCCCCGGCCCTATCTCTTGCCCTTCGGTGGACACCGAAGGCATTGCCAGAGAGGAGGGTCCTGGAGAGGGAGGCCTTGCCAATTCCTCTCCTTCACTCTCGGAGTCCTCTCCTGCCAATGACACAGGCTCAGTTAACGGAGCCACAACAGATATATATATATATACATATATAGATATATAAAGAGGTGGGTTTCAGCAGGTTCTGACCAGTTCTGGAGAACCAGTAGTTCTTCCTATGTAAACCAAGATTTTTATGCAGCCCTAGTTCAGTGAAATCACAATCCACTAGTTTCTAGGCTTTTTTCAGGCTGCCAGCAAGCACCCTGCTGCCCATTGGGAGACTAAGGAGACTAAGATAGAGTCCGAAATAGATCTATTTCTAGATCTAGATAGATATAAGGGCTGCTTGAATACACACAAAGTTATTTCACAAGGAAAGGGGAAAACACAGTCAAAGAGCTACTTACGATTACTTGTTCCCGACCTTTCTCACCAATTGCATTCTACAATGGAAACAAAAGGTATCAGCTTTATTCTCACACGACAACAACATACATGCCTTCTGTAACAATCTGATCTCTGTCATCTCATACATGATAACAATGAATTCCTTCCTTCTTCAGATATAAAAGAATTGGTCCTTTAATCAACACATCTCTTGGAGTTAAAGCTTTTCTGTGAATATGCTGTATGTGTCTTCATTTCATATGTGAACTTAGATTCATACTTATTATCTCATCAAAATAAAAATCCTAACAGCTGTGTTGGTATAACTGCCCAAACTAGGAGAACTGTAATTTGGGTTAGTTCATGCATCGTTTTTATGCATTGGTTTAGTAACTTGGGTTAGTGCAAGTATATATAACTTCCAATAACTTCCCTTTCTTGGCTGGGGAGTGCCTAGACCACACATCTTCTTGCAAAAATCAAATCCAGAAGCACACCCAGATAACTGATTCAGCAGGATTCATTAACTTCTCTTTATATACATAATAACAGATGAAGTAAATTTTACAATACCAATATAGATTCTTCTTCAACGTAGTAGCAGTTACAAGCAAAACACACAGGCAGCAGTACAGCAGAGATGCAAGTCCAGACTGGTTTCAGTTTCATTTCTTAGCCCAGCACAGAGCTGAGCCACGCCCAGCCTCCAAATTGTTTCAGCCCCCATTGGTTGACTTAGTTGCTATGCCTATTCATTGGCTGACATTGTTACCATGTTTCTGCCAGTTCATGAATAATCTGACATATTTTAAAATTGCTGAGGCTGAGAAACACTTCACTAGAAGTGTTCACCTCTGTTCCAAAACGATCCCCAGGGAAGGTTCCACAATGGCTTTGCCAACACAGACCCCAAAAGAAGGAATGTTTAGCTGGGACTCAGCATTCTCTGAAGGCAGAAGCTGCATTCTGTGAATTGCAGGAGTTGGCAGGTTCTGTGAACCAAGGACTTCCTTGGCCTAAGATGACCAGGAGCCCCCTGTCATTGAGAAACTGTTTCCATCTCAGCTTCACCTCCCTCCCTCCCTCCCTCCATCTCCTTTGCTTCTCCCTTCCTCATCCAGATACAACTCAAACACCTGTGTCGGTTCATCTGTAACCTTCAATTGGGCAAAACTGGCAACCATTCTTGAAACAAGTAATTAAAATTGAATAACTTATATGATGCCGGGATCTGTGATTCCCATGTGAATGAAATTAGGGAACATTGTGACCCTGTTGTTTTTCCTGCCTCCCTCTGGCCCCTGTGCCCAATCAGCTGGTAGCAAGGCTAATGGGCTAGAGGTCATTGGCTGCTTTGGAACTAAGGCCAAAATCTGAAATCTCTTAATGGCAGTGGCTGGTGCGGGAACACGAAGGGGTGACAAGATGACTGTTGGCAAAGTGGGGCTGGCTGGGGGACACTGATACAGATTAACAGAGTTGGAAGGGACCTTGCAGGTCATCTAGTCCAACCCCCTGCCCAAGCAAGGGACCCTACATCTGCCTCTACCTAGGATCGAACTCCCAACCTCCTGATTGTGAGGCATAGCTAAAGAGCACTGGCAATCCATGGGTGGCTTTCTGCCTACCTATACAAAGGGGACCTTTGGGGACATGCCAGAATGTGGAGCATGGTATGCTTTTCCTTGTGGTCTGTGGCTCCCTTCGTGGTATTTCCTGGAGTGGAACTGATCAATTAAGCAGGGAAGTGGAGATGTCAGTTTAATTTTAAAATGAAGGAGCTCACATTCATGGCAGAAAATATGAATTGGTGTTTGATGAGTGTGGGTGGAAATAAGAATCCAAAGGTTGCTGTTAGTTGTTTTATTTACCCTCCAGGAAATTTGGTTATTAGGGACTTAGAATACCCAAGCAATAGCAATTTATTTATTGTTTATTTATTGGTTCGATTTATATGCCACCCTTCTCCGAAGACTCAGGGCAGCTTACAATGCATTAAGCAATAGCCTTCATACTTTTGTATATACCTGCTTAGTAGGGCTTTCGGGGGCCCCAAGCGGTGTTCTTTTTATACAAAATCAGCTTATTGCCCCCACAATCCGGGTCCTCATTTTACCTACCTTGGAAGGATGGAAGGCTGAGTCAACCTTGAGCCTGGTGAGATTTGAACTTGCAGTAATTGCAGGCATCTGGTGTTACTTAACAGTACTTTAGTCTGCTGCACCACCAAGGCAATAGCCCTTAGATTTATATACCGCTTCATACTGCTTTTACAGCCCTCTCTAAGCGATTTTACAGAGTCAGCCTATTGTTCCCAACAATCTGGGTCCTCATTTTACCCACCTCGGAAGGATGGAAGGCTGAGTCAACCCTGAGCCGGTGAGATTTGAACTGCCGGACTGCAGCTAGCAGTCAGCTGAAGTAGACTGCAGTACTGCACTCTAACCACTGTGCCACCTCGGATGCAAAAAGCATTATACTATGAGTTACCTACCATAACTTTTGCCATCGTTGCATCGCCATTTTCCTACAAGGGAAATAAAGGGTTATGAGTTTGATCCTCACATGGTAACATATCTCCAAATGTTCCATCACTACATCACACACATATGAATGGCTGCATTCTCCAAATAAGAAACATATGATTCTTGCTAAAAGAGGATGTGACAGGGCTAAAAATACCTAAACATGAATTAATAGTGTTTTGAGACTTTAGGACAGGGGTGCCAAACTGGATTTTTTCAAGGGCTGGAATCAGCATTGTAGTTCTCCATGGGCCAACCGGTGTGGGGGGGAGACAATCTGGACAGCCTCCTGCAGCACTTTGCCAGCCAAAATGAGGTGCAGTGTTTTCAAAGTGTTTCAGGAGGTCATCCAGGCCAGAGGTTGGCCCCATGGGCCAGATTTAAACAGGCCTTGAGTTTGACACCCCTGCTATAGGAGGTGACCTGCCTGAGCCCAAAGTATCCTAGATGAGGGAGGACTACAATTTATTCTTTCAGTAGATTTCACAAACAGAATTGTGTGTCCCCCAAAAACTATTTCTGCATCCCAGAATTCTCAGGCCAGAGCTATCTACATAGACAGCATCGCCAAAAAGGCATTAAGAGTTGTAAACCTAATCTTGCATAGCTTCTTCTGGTAATATCACACTACTAACAAGAGCATACAAAACCTTTGCTAGACCAATTCTCGAATACAGCTCATCTGTCTGGAACCCACACTACATATTCGGACATTAATACAATTGAACATGTCCAGAAATATTTCACAAGAAGTGTCCTCCATTCCTCTGCTCACAACAGAATACCTTATTCCACCAGACTTGAAATTTTGGGCTTAGAAACCTTAGCACTATGCCGCCTTCGGTATGACCTAGGCATAGCTCATAAAATTATCTGCTACAAGGTCCTATCTGTTAATGACTACTTCAGCTTCAACCACAACAATACACGAGCACACAATAGATACAAACTTAAAATGAACTGCTCCAAACTCAATTGCAGAAAATATGACTTCAGCAACAGAGTGGTCAATGCCTGGAATGCACTACCTGACTCTGTGGTTTCATCCCAAAACCCCCAAAATTTTAACCTTAGACTGTCTACTGTTGACCTCACCCCATTCCCTAGAGATCTGTAAGAGCACCAGCGTGCCTACCGTCCCTGTCCTAATGTTTCCTCTATTTGTATCTATTTTATGTATCCAATCTACATTTATACTTATTACCTAATACGTTCTTGACAAATAAAATAAAATAAAATAAAATAGACCATCAGTTTAGCTACAATACCAGAGAGGAACCTCTTGCAGACTATTCTGGACTGGGTGATTTATACTGACTTTTGTCTCTCAAATTAGATGTTTTTGAAGAAAAAGTACATTTTGGAGAAAAGTGCATTTTGCCAAAGGGGGGTGGGGGGAATCAGGAAATCCAGCGTAATGTAATTTACTTACTATATATTCTGCATCAGCATTAGCATCACCATAGTTATACTGAAAAGAAAACAAGAAAATTTCCTTATTCTTGCAGTTTCTGATTATGGTTTTTCTTATAATCATTTGCCCATTTGCAAAATAAAGCAAAATTACACCATCAGCAGAGAGAAGGAAGAAGACACAAGAAATTTTGTATATCTATACACATTTTAGAAATACAGTAATTATTTTTACTAAAAAGGAAAATGCAATTGACTTCAGCATACAGGTAATCCACAATTTATGAGACCAACTAAGCCCAACATTTCCATTGCTAAACAAGACAATTGTTAAGAGAGTTGTACCCCATTTTATGACTTTTTTTGCGACAGTTAACTGAATCACTGCAGTTGTTAAATGAATCATACAATTGTTAAGAGAATCCGGTTTCCTACATTGACTTTGATTGTCAGAAGCCAGCTGGAAAGGTTGCAGGTCAAAACCACAATCACAATCACCATGTCAGGTCACTGCATAAATGCAAGCTGGTTGCCAAGCACCCAAATCATGATCACATGACAATTGTAACTTTGAGGATGGTCGAAGCTATTTTTTTTTTTCAGAGCACTGAAAATTCAAACCATGGTTAAACAAGTGGATTCCCTGTATAGATATGTCAAAGAGATATAAAGACATAGATGGATAGAAAATGTCAGGGTTACACCCATTGCAAACAGAACTGCAAGGCAGGTAGAATCCTCAAAGAACAGCTCTGGAGATATCATCTTGGCACAGACTGGTGAAAAACCAACTCTGAGAGTTCCTGCATTTTTTCACCTAATTAAAAAGTGAAAGCTTCCCTTTTGCCCCCAAACAATAAGTCATATTGATAGTGATATCTCTACATGGGGCTCCCCTTGGGGTGCACCCGGAGGCTACAGTTAGTCCAGAATGCAGCTGCACGGGGGATTATGGGAGCGACGGGGCGCTCACATATGACACCTCTCCTGCGCGAGCTGCACTGGCTTCCTGTGGTCTTCCGGGTGCACTTCAAGGTGTTGGTGACCACCTTTAAAGCGCTCCATGGCTTAGGGCCGGGCTATCTGCGAGACCGCCTTCTGCCGCCAATAGCCTCCCACCGACCGGTTCGCTCACACAGAGAGGGCCTCTTCAGGGTGCCGTCGGCCAGACAGTGTCAGCTGGCAACCCCCAGGGGGAGAGCCTTCTCTGTGGCAGCACCCACCCTCTGGAATGACCTACCCCCTGAGATACGCATGATATCAGACCTCCGGACTTTTCGTCGGGCCCTGAAAACACACCTATTCCATCTAGCTGGGCTGGCTTGATCCCATCCTCTCAGTTTTAATTGAATTTGGTTTTAATTGGGTTGTTTTTAATATCTTGGGCCGAAATTATTTAATTGTTTTTTAAATTGTTTTAAAATTTTATATGCAATGTTTTATCTTGGCTGTACACCGCCCTGAGTCCCGCAGGAGAAGGGCGGTATAGAAATATAATAATAATAATAATAATAATAATAATAATAATAATAATAATAATAATAATAATAATAATAATAATAATAATAATAATAATAATAATATTGTCCAATCTGGGTGCTGGCCAGTTGCCAGGTTACTGCTCTCCTCTTCCTCTGTCCAGCCAGCTGTTGGAATGCCCTTGGTTCACAAAAGAAACTATTTTATTTTGGCTACAAAACCCCAGCTATCTCTATCCTCATCTCTACTGTGGCAATGCTGAAGCCTCAAAAACGGCCTCAGTCAGGCCAGTTTCAGAGTTGACAGAATATCTCTCTCCTGTAAGAACGTAAGATTTCTTTCTTCTGTGTAAGATCGGTATATTATTAGCCAGATATCAATAAAACTAAGATAACTCTTTCTTTCACTAAAATCTCCTTCAGTTTCTTTCTTTAAAAAAAATGGGCCAAACCAATTAAATTTGGATCAGAAGCACTGGGGAAAATGAATCCAGTAGCTATTGAGAAATTGCTACATGCTTTTAAGGACGTGGTGGCTCAGTGACTAAGACACTGAGCCTGTTGATTGAAAAGTCGGAAGTTCAGTGGTTCAAATCCCTAGTGCCGCATAACGGGGTGCGCTCCCGTTACTTGTCCCAGCTTCTGCCAACCTAGCAGTTCGAAAGCACATAAAAAATGCAACTAGACAAGTAGGGACCATGTTTGGTGGGAAGGTAACAGCGTTCTGTGCACCTTTGGCATTTAGTCATGTCAGCCACATGACCACGGAGACGTCTTCAGACACTGTCTGGCTCTTCGGCTTTGAAATGGAGATGAGCACCATCCCCTAGAGTCGAGAACGACTAGCACATATGTGCGAGGAGAACCTTTACCTTTACCTTTTATGATGAGACTCCACTGCAGAATAAAAAAATCATAAAAGCTGTCAAGCCTCCCCCAGTACTGCCGCCATTCTTCCAAGCATTGCCTCAAAGATGTTGTTGATGTAGCTAAATAAATATATAAAGTTTTTTGGGTATCCAAATAAGCCTTGACACAATATGTGAATTAAATGTAAAACATTAAGCTTCCTTAGATGTTTACAGGTAACATAGCCACCTAGGATATGCAGCTCAGGTGCCAATGAACCTGTGAATTTTGCTCTCTTCCTTATTTTAATTTATCTCAAATTTTTCCCATACCTTGCGTAGTTACTGATATCTGATCAACCGAAATAATTTTCAGCATTTTGTATTGTTCCAACTCAGTAGGTCCAACAAGAGATTAACTGCCTCTGACTCTCATGCAAAGCAAACGTTGAGAAAGCCAATGCAGAGAACAGATGCCAATCTGAATCCAGAACCATTGATACAGTTGAATTCCCGATGATTAAAAGACTGAGTACTTAAAGCCCTCTGCCTGATTTTTCAATCCCTTCCTGAAGAAAAGGGTTGACTAAAGTATGGGGACAAACTTTACAAAATGCTTACTGATTTCATCTGCAGGCATCTCAGCTGAAAGACCATTGCAACTCACAAAATTTAGCCTTACTTACCCCCTGTGTAGAAAGCGTAAAAGTCAAAACAAAGACTAAAAGGAGATGCATTTGTTGCTCTTCAGCTCTTCTGGTCCAGGCTGCTCTTCTAAGTGACTTTATTCAGTTGCCTTGCCACTTTTTAATACCTTAATCCTTAGGCCTCATTGCCCAAATCCAATGCTTTTATTGTTACTTGATTTACAAGGAAATATTAAACTTCTATTGCATCATGCACAATTATTCTATCATCCATGTTCAAATTGAAACTAAAATACAGAGGCTGTCTTTCTGCCACCATGAAGTAAAGTAATTTCTTATAATTTTGCCATACAAAATTGAACGAAGAGAGTGATTGAATCAAAGTCACTGATGGAAACCTGAAAGTGCCCCATAATCTGTAGTTGCCTGACCCTACTCCAACATTTAACATGTCACGCTATTATTTTTATTAGATTATCGTTATTGTACATTGAGTACAGTTCTGATTCTGAGGAGAATGAGATAAAAATAATCAGCCCAGCATGGGACACAGCTGATTATCTAGACTTGTCCACCAGGAGGCACTTGAGATTCATCCTATTTGAGATTCTTCAGACATATACTAACCATATATTATTAAATGGGATTTAAACTTCTACTAGGAATTGAACCAATGCCCAATTACATTTTAGACAACTATATACAGTACATTAGTTCAAGGAGACATATTCATTAAAATATGTCTCCTTGAAGTGGCATAACATTCTCAGAGACTCTTCCCATCCTGCTTACAATCTTTTTGGACTGTTGCCTTCTGGCAGAAAACTCGGACCACACGTTTTCTGAATAGTTTTTATCCCAGAGCTATAATTGCACTCAACAATGAACTAAAGGCCCACCATCAGTGAGCTGTTGGACAGCATTACTTGGTCTGTTGTGTGGATGTTTGGGTGGTTTAGGGGTGGGGAATTGTGGTGGGTGGGAGTGTGTTTGGGGATTGTTATGTGTGTTGGACCTGGTCTTTGGGTGTTAACTGAATTTCGTTGTATGAGTATACTGTGTATACACGTACAATGACAATAAAGTTATTATTATTAAAAGTAAAGGGGAGATGACTTTCTCAGGGAAGCTGATATAAATGACAGAAGTTGTGAAGAAGAGTCTGAAAATGTACAAAATGGGCAAGACAGAAAGACATGCAGCCTATGCCAACTAATCCAGAACCTTCTATTTTAGTGATGGCTAACCTTTTGTGGACCGAGTGCCCAAAGTGTGTGCGTACATGCCTGAACCTCCAAAAGTCAATACGCGCACGGCCCCCTGCATGCCCCTCATGCATGCACGCATGGCCCCACATGCACACATGCCCCCACATGCATTCCGTGCATGTGCGGCAGAGACCCGAAGACCATCTGGCCAGCAGGAGGCATGTGCATACGTGGCGAAGCTGAGCTGGGACAACGGCTCACGTGCCCACAGAGAGGGTGCTGCGTGTAACCTCTGGCACGTGTGTCATAGGTTCACCAGCACGGTTCTATTACTATGATGATGAAACCTCTGGGTTTCACATATTTGTTGCCATCAGTAAAGCCCACTTTGCTAGAAAGTCTTATATATGTTTTTTTTTGGCTAGATTGGAGAAAAAAGGGTGACGGTATGGACAGATGCATAGATCACCAAACATCTAGTTCAATAGTTTTTCCACATTCTGTTTCTTGGGGGAAATCTAAGGTCCCCTTGAGGAATATCTCATTCAAATGGAGAGGAATTTCGCAACTCCCTATTTGTGGTTTCCAAGCTAACCAAGGTTAAATCAAGCTGTGTGAATGGAGCTGCTTGGTCTTTAACTGATACAGTTATAGACATTCTAGGAAAATAGGGAATTTGTTTGCACCTTTGAAAAGTTCCATTCTCAATAAAATTCTCAGCAAAGTTCATATCTTCCAGAACTTTAAGCAAAAAAGGCCAATGCAAATTATCAAAGGTTTTCTCTGTATCTAAGAAGAAATATGCGGCTTTTTCTTTCTTTCTTTCTTTTTTTTTTTTTTTGTTATGTTGTTTTAAGTATACTATAACATCCAATACAGTTCTCACATTGTCATCTTTTGTCATTTAAGTAAAAACTCACATTGATCTTACGGAATAAACTCTTGGAAAATGTTTTTAATCTATCAGCCAAATTTAATGTGAACACTTTATAATCACCATTCATTCATAGGTGAATGGTGATTATAAACATGCAATCAGCATCTCCCTGGAGGTGACTCTCCAGGACTCTGAGGAAGATGCATCCTAAGCGTCCCCAATGGCCTCTCCGGCCAGACTGTCCTTGGCATCCATTGCTCCCACTTGTCTCTCAGCTTCAACTAGGGGAGAATCTCTTCACGGCAGCCATTTTTAGGAATGGAGACCTTCCAACACTTAAGCCTCCCCTCCTTCTGCATTTCTGGGAATTTTGTCTCTTTCTTAAAAAGATAAAACTTTTAATTTTATTCTTATTTGATACCCTCCCCCCTTGTTTTTGTTTATTCAATCTCTTCTCCATGCGGCTGATTGGTGGCTGAGTTCCCAGGCAACCATTGTCTCTTCCCTCCTTTTTGATTGGCTGCTGCCGGGTTGCCAGGACGACACAGACAGGCCAGGAATAGAGGCAGCCATTAGGGAGAGAGAGAAGCGGGTCTCTTGTCTTCCCTCAGCACTGGAGGAGTTGAAGTGGAAAATCTTCTCTCTTTTAGGAAACTCTGATCAGATGCAGCTCAGAATCAGAAGAAGAATAGAGAATAAAAATGAAAGAATGTTTAAAAAATATTTTAAAATTGAAGGAAAAGTTCAACACTGACAGAAGGAAAATAGAAAACAGAAACTAAAAACAGATAAAAGATAGGAAGATGCAGTGAAATTGGATGTTAAAGAAAACAGAGTCATTGAAAAATAACTATATCCTCTGAGTTCCATGTTTTTTTTTTATATCAGGACAGAGTAAAACTGCTGATCCTCAGCAGTTCTTAAAAGTAGATAAATGCAACCTCAGATGAATAACAACACATGACGTATTGCACCATGTCATCATTCATTTTACAAAAAGAAAGCCAACATGGAGAAGCCAGGTGTGAAGAGAACTCAAAAGCGGGTGTAGGTTTTTTTTGACATGACTGTAGTCTGGATGAAGACCTTATAGAAAATAGGGAGCTGGAATAGAAAACAGTTTTAGTATTAAGATTAATTTTGGTATTAGTTGAAAGCATTTATAATTTATAATTCCTTTTTTGAAAAAATGTGTAAGCTTTCCTTTTGTGAAATGAAAATCTCTCTTCAACCACTGTAGACAGAAAACCCAAATCACCTTTTGAAGTATTGAGTCTGTAACATCTACTTATCAATGGTTCAAAAAAAAAAAGAATATCTATCTATCTATTTATCTATCTATCTATCTACCTACCTACCTACCTACCTACCTACCTACCTACCTACCTACCTACCAACCTATCCAGCGATGAAGTCCACTTATCTTCGCTATCAGTTCAGGAACAGGAGCATGCGGGAGTACACATGCGCTACACATATGCGCCCCTCTTCTGTGCATGCACCGGACCTTCTGCGCATGTACCAGATGGTAAAAAAAGGGATGTAATGACATCCTGGTGGGTGGGCGGAGTGTCCCACTGCCTGCACTACCAATTCGGTGAGCCGGATAGAACCGGGAGGATTTCACCGCTTTATCTATTTATCTATCTATCTATCTATCTATCTATCTATCTATCTATCTATCTATCATCTGTCTGTCTATCTATATATGTATCTATCATCTATCCACATAGCCTCCCATATGCCTGAAATCTGCATTTTTTAAAATTTCCTAGGATTGGGTGTGGTAAACACAGTTGGTCTCTGGGTAGCTTCCAGAGAAGGTGGACTCTTCCTGAAGCTCCCTAGTTAAGTCTAGACATTGAAGTCTCAGGGAAAATGCCCTCCTGCCATTTTCTATCTATAGAAAATGAGATTATTTTCCCATTCACATACCAGAATGCTGAAAGCTTCTGATTTGGGGACAAGAGGATTCTATGCCTTATTTGGATAAGAGACTAATTGGATTCAGAGCTGTTTTCCATTTCCTTCTCTGGGTCTTTCCAGGTGCTGTTTTGAAGCAGGGGCACTGCTTTTTGGATATGTCCAGAAAGATGTTAGCTGTTGTGACTCCGACTCCCGAGCCTGTCCTCACGGAGGAAGAGGACTCAGAAGAGGGGGAGGAACTGACAAGGCCTCCCTCTCCAAGACCCTCCCCTCTGGCAATGCCTCAGGTTCCATCCGAAGGCCAGGAGGAACAGCCTGGGATAGGCCAGGAGGAAGGCATTTCGGAGCACCCATTGATAGAGAGTGATAATGATGAATCCTGGCTTGATCCCAGGCAGTGTTGGAGGGAGAAGCGTGTGCAGCAAAGGAAGAGGTGTGGGAGGGCCAGGGATTGAGCTGAGTCACTGAGCCACACCCCACAAGGGATAAAAGGGGACATGATTGCTTGGCAGGCTTTGTGACGGACAAAAGTTTAAACTCTAAAGAGTCACATCGTGAATCCTGCACTTCGGCTCAGATATATTTTGGACTAAACTCTTGTGGATAATTTGTTGCTCTGGAAACGGACTGCAGATAAGGCCTCTCCTGCTTTTGGGGAGTACTATATGGACTGGGCAGGCATTTTACAGTTAGCTGCCAGAACTCTCATCTTCCAGGAATTCTGGTCTGTTTATAAAATAAATTATTGGCAGGCGTGTTTTATATTGCATTTGTCTGTGTGAGGACGGGGGACAGAACATTAGGATAATTGTGACTCCACAGAGAGTCATGGAATTCATGTGGTCCCATAAGATCTGTAATTCACCTAACACCTGCAGAAATAACTGATGTAGACAACCAGAGTGTTGGATGAGGAGTCATCTGCGTGATCTTGATATCCAGTTTCCACTGCTCACATCTACTTTCAAGAGAAAGTCACATATAGTAGAGAAAAAGTGTCCACGTTCACACAGATTTAGAGTTTCATATTCAAGACACCTCAGGCAAAAGACTCCTTCCCTCTCTCTTTGGGGAGACTTCTCTCTTCTATTCAGCTGTTTTTACTTAATATAACTATGATTTCTTAACTTGTTCATCTCTGGCTGCATGACAACTTTAATTATTAATTGTTTATTTTATTGTTTGATGATTATGTTGGAATTTAATTTCATTAGTCTTACAGTCTTTATATGTTTATTTCCTTCAGTTTTAAATAACCTTAATTGTTACATTAATGCAAAGGAAGAATACAAAAGCCCAACAATTGCAATGAAAAAATTAAATGTTACATGCCTAAGAAACAATATCACAGTCATTCTCCTTCTTTTATCATTAGACATTCCTTAGTGTTTAGATATGGCCTCAGGATTATAATGTAGCATTTGGGGAAGAAGATGAAGCCCAGCAGTCCAGCACTGGAGGCCAAGATGGAGAAGACCTGAACAATCACCATGGACTTTCCTTTGGTGCTCAGATAGGTTGGCAGGAAGGAGATCCAAACACTACAGAAGACCAGCATGCTGAAGGTGATCAGCTTGGCTTCATTGAAGGCCCCAGGCAGGTTCCTGGCCAGGAAAGCTACAGTGAAGCAAATGGCAGCTAAGAAACACATATAGCCAAGGACAACATAAAACATGGTGACAGAGCCTTCATTGCATTGAAGGATGATCTCTCCAGGCTGGGAGTGCAGGTCAGAGTCAGGAAATGGGGGAGAAATTCCAAGCCATGAGGCACAGATGAAAATTTGTCCAGCAGAACCAGAAAGGATGATAGAATTGGCCAAGCTCTTCCCCAACCATCTTCTCACTTTGTTCCCTGGTTTTGAGGCTAAGAATGCCAGCACCACTGTGATAGTTTTGGCCAACACAGATGACACAGCTATTGAGAAGACAATACTGAACACAGTTTGTCGGAGAAGGCAGGTGGCTTTCCTTGGTCGTCCAATGAAGAAAAAGGAGGACAAGAAGCAAAGCAAGAGGGAGACCAGGAGGATGTAAGATAGGTCCCGGTTGTTGGCTTTGACAATGGGAGTTTCAAGGTATTTAATGAATATGATTAAAATGAATCCTGTGGATAGGAACAAGAGTAGGGCAATGGACACCAGGATAATGCCCAGATGTTCTTCATAGGAGAGGAAGGTTATTCTTTTTGGGATACATTGGACTCTGCTCTCGGTTGGATATTGATCATCTGGGCACTTGGTGCATTTTTCAGTATCTGAGAAAACAGAAAGTTCTTTTGTATCTCTTTTCACCTTTCAAGAAAGATCTTCTATGGATGTCATATTCAGCATCACAATACTACCATCTAACAAGCCATGGGTGGTGTACTTTGATACCAAGCCCATGGCAGCAAATGACCTCACCTAGCAATTTCACGTAAAAGATAAAGGAGAGAGACTCCAGTCCTGAGAGATGCCCCATTGCAGGGCCTAGGTTTTCTCCTCTATTCCCTAAGAACCCATCAACTGAAATCAACCATGAATAAAGGAAAACCTTTGGAAAACCCTGCCTCCACTCCCAAACCCTGAAGCCTGTTCAGAAGGATATAATGATTTATATTATCAAAAGCCACTGAGAAATCCAGAAGGGTCAGAATGTTTGCAGGACTCCTATCAGAGATCATCTGTGAAAGCAACCAATGCCATCTTGGAACTGTATCTCAGCCACCAGTACTGTACCTGAATGACAATCATGCTCTCAACAAACTCTTAACAAATATTGTACTCAGGACAAAATTTGTCTAAGATGGTTGGGTCCGTGGAGAGCCTCTTTAGAATGAGGTGCATAATCGCATCCTTCAAAGCAAATGGTGGGACCACCGTTCCTGGGGGAAAAAGGCATTAACTAACCCCAAGGTCAGATTGCCACTATCCTTGAGGCTTCCTCAAATTCCTTTCAATTGTATTCTTTCAACAGGCCTGGGCATCGTGTGGTACCAGAGCCCTGTGCGCTGGTTGTGTCCTGTGTAAAATCTTGATGTATTTCCCTCTTGTAATCATGGTATTTAACGTGTCATCCAGTTTAATTGTTGTTTTAATTGGATGACACCCAAAGACCCTTTGTGTGGGAAGCCAGCAATATAAATTTGGTACCCTGTGGTAAGATTGGGGTCCAATAAATTTCACAAATTAATAAAATTGTAAACAGAGATCTTAGAGAAAATTAATTGCTGAAGTAATCCAAGAAAAGAAAAAATCTGTTATCTTTCTTTGCAATGATTTTAGTGCCTAAAAATCAGAAGCAGTAGTCTATTACCATACTTTCTAAATTTAGTAATAATTTTAAAGACTGAATGAGTTCCACATTTGTATGAATGTCTATTAGGTAGACTGTTTAATTAATTAGTTCTCTTTTCTTCCTACTTTCTATTAGATGTGGTTCCTTTTAATTCCAATAATGGAAGTAAGTTTTTTTTTCTCTTAGAACCACAACTGTATTCCTTTTTGCAACTGTTATAACTGTTTGTATTTCATTATTTAATATCCAAAATTGGAAAGATAAAAAGAAGAGGGAAGAGTCAGTAACTATCCAACCAAGGAAACCATGATAGTGGCAATGCTGAATCTGGGAATGTTGAAATGGGCTATAAACAATATTTGTGTTTTACCTCTTAATCCATAATATGGAAAATTAAAGCACTCAAAATAAAAAAGGCAAACTTTACCGCTAATAACAATAAATTTAATTTACATTCCTTCTTTCACACAAAACTGCTCCATGTCTTTTACGGTGAGTCTTTTGTGTGTATTTCTCTTGTCCCTTGAACCCAAACCTTCTCCCTTCATGTTCCCCTGAATTACATCTTTTTGCTTATGTGGTTCCATGATCCACATAAAGATTGATTGATTAATTAATTGATTGATTTATGTACAATATATTTTGGGCTGTAATATAAACTGGGTTGGGTGAGCAAAAGCCATTGACCTGAATGCATTCTTCAATTTCAAAGGATTCAGATGTTCCTAAGAAAAGTAAAAATGGGAGGACAGTTCCAAACTGGCAAGAAAAGAGAGATTTCCTCTGGCACAAGTAACCATGCATAATCCATCATGTCCTTCTATCTCTTCCTACCTCATCCTTCAAGATCTTTTTTTTTATTCCTCCTATAATGGAGGAAATTGGGCACCTTGAAAATGAAGAACCACTTAGAACTTCGCCGTCTTCGGTCTGACCTAACCATAGTACATAAAATCATCTGCTACAATGTCCTACCAGCCAATGAATACTTCAGCTTCAACCAAAACAATACAAGAGTACACAATAGACACAAACTCATGATAAACTGCTCCAAACTAGATTGCAGAAAACACAACTTCAGTAACAGAGTTGTCAATGCCTGGAATGCACTACCTGATTCTATGTTTTCTTCCCCAAATCCCCAAAATTTAACCTTAGACTGTCTACTGTAGACTTCACCCCATTCCTAAGTGGTCTGTAAGGGGCGTGCATAACCAGACCAGCGTGCCTACTGTTCCTATCCTAATGTTTTCTTTTATTCGTATCCTTTTCATATATTTATAATTATGTTTACACTTTTATTATATATATTTATATATATATACACACACACATATTGATCAAAATGCTTTGGCTTAATCCAGTACCTTTTTTTTGTGGTGTCACCCACCTTCCTGAGTGGAGATGGTCCCTTCCGGACAAGGAACACAGTCATAGCAGCAAACTGGCTCTCCTTTCCGAGCCCTCTTGAAAAATCCAGGCCGGCAATTTTCCACACATTTGGACTGAGGCAGAGACTAAGAAGAAAAAACAGGGAATGACAAATGAAGTCAATTAACCATCAATTAAAAATGGAGATAAACATGATCATTCGTCAAGTAGTTGATGGACTTCACTTAGGTAAATAAGAAATCTTTAGAAATCTCCCAATGTTGCAAGAGAGACAACTATTGCAGATTCTTCATTTAGTTCCTCCCTTTTGCTTTTGTTCTATCACATTGCAAGAAAGGACATTTCTACTTAACAAATTCTGGAGAGAAGCAATGGAGAAAAGATTTAAGCATTCATAACTAGTGGTTCCTCCACATGGTTATATTAGCATACATTCCTCCTCTCTTCATGTACCCATGAATTTAAATTAAGATGCTTTAGTCATATGAATGTTTAGAATGAAATTTATTGTGAAACGTTTATGAATTTTTTATTTTATTAAATTTATCAAAATAGAATAAAACTGTGATGAAGAAAGAAACTTCTGACCAGATGGATCTGGACTACATGTATCATTGCAAAACCAGCCCTATTTGAAAGTTAAGGTATAAAGCAAAACTTCCAAGTTAAGATATAAAGGAAGACTTCATTACAGATTAGGACTTAATGCATCTGTTCTTTGTTTATTGATATGCTTACTTGATAAGTTTATGTGGTCACCATGCTGGTGAACTAAGACTAAAACTGACTGCCTAGTTTCCAGAACTGGAATGAGATGAGATGGAGGTGAGTCGTCAGAATGTGTTCCTCTAAAATGGTAAGTCATGCATTTTTTGCTGTATCGAATGGGACGTGAATATGATCACATGGAACGTGATATGAATATGTGACAGAAAGATATGTTTCTAAAGTCAATCCAAAAAAAAAGGATCTTTTCTGTTGAAAAACAACAATTAGGTGACACCAATTGGCATGAAAAGAGAGAGCTACATTTATTATTGGTTAAATTTGGAGCCTCCTTTTTTCCAGAGAGATTTAAGGTAACTAACAATGAAAATAAACAATTGCATTCAAGGATGTTCCATATGAAGTGATAAGCTAAAAACCATTTTTCCCCCAAATTGTCCCTCATTTCTTCCAATATGAAGAAGGGCTTTTCTTTTCTTTGCATCAAACCTTGTTTCAGTGCTTTAGTTTTCTCACTCAGGGCACATCAGAAAACTCTTTATCATTTTAGATGAATGGAAAGCCTTAGATTTTCTCCCCAGGTGCAGAAGACCTATTCTTTTATCCCTTTGGCATGACAGACAACTATGGACAACTCTGACCATGTATGTTCTATTTATGAATATCACAGACTATAAACCTACCCAACCATGCCAAGATAAACCTGAATTCAGAGCAAATTTTCCCAATGGCATCAACAAGAAGTATGTCCAGTCTTGATTAGACTTATTCTTGCTTCTTTCACCGCATTGGGAACTTGGGCATTGGACAAAAGATTTTCATTGTATTTTGCTTATTTTAGGCAAGGAAAAAAGACAAGTTGATGCTATCAGCACCAAAACCCACAACACCTGATGTCCCCTTTCACCAGTTTTGATACCAGATTGCACAGGGGACACAAAGTAGCCATGATTTGTGTCCTAGAGAATCATCACCCATGTTGGACACAACTGAGTCAATTTAATATGTTCCATATTCCAGCATCTGAAGCAGTAGCAGATATTTTGAGTAGTTCAGAGAACCTGCAAATACCAGCTCTGGCTGGCCCCAGAGTGGGGTGGGAATGGACATTTTGCAATATCCTTTCCCCAGGAGTGGGGAAGGAATGGGGATTTGCAGTATCCTTCCCCTGGAGTGGGGTTGGAATGGAGATTTTGCGGTATCCTTCCCCTGCCATGCCCATCGGTAGTAAAAAAAATTGAATTCCACCACTAATCTGAAGGACACCTTACCAACTGCACTGAAGCCTCACAAGCCATTTAAGAAAACTATAACGGTTCTTCTTCCCACATTCAATTCTCTCTGAAGGTCATTGTATTTGGTGAATAGCTTAGCCACTTGAAATATGTCTCAAGGCTTTAGAAAACAGAGAAATGACACCAATATTTCACCCACCTTGTTGAGCAACTTTAGCTGTGAAAGAGCATCTGGATTGATAATTGTTCTTTGTCTTTCAAAACTGCCTAGTTGTTTGCTGATGGGATCTTTCCTGGAAAAAACTAACATGCACATGATGTTCAGATCTGCTGCTATATCACCATTTTGGTCCAAGTACAGTTGAAACAGGGAAAGATTGCAAAATTCATTCTTCAGAAAGGGATGAAGCTGGAATGAAACATCCAAGAATCTTAAAAGGAGAAACTTTGGTTTCTTATTCCACATGTTCTTTTCACAACTGAATCTTTCTACTAAAGTTGTGTAACTTGCAAATATCCTGAATTCAGAGAACAAGTGCTATCACTGTCCTCAAATGACAAAAAGAAAGGCTTAGCAAATTTTGTCAATGATATATTGACAAACAATGTATTGATAAAATAAATAATTGATAAAATTGATAAAATATCAGAAAGGTCACAAATAAGTTGAACAAACAGACAATTGCAAAGATTATTCATAAAGCCTTGAAAACAATAGGGTAATTACCAGAAAGCATGGATTTGTCAGGAAGAAAGTTGTGAGGCTAATGTTGTCCCAGGTAGTCTAGAAACGAAATATGGCCAGATGAGCTAATTCTACTTTATTGTAATGCTACCATAACAGGATTTTGCAATTGTGAAAGTACAAAGTGTACAAGCTATTCTCTGAAGCACCTGAAGGTAGGACAAGAAGCAATGGATGGAAACTAACCAAGGAGAGAAGCAATCTAGAACTAAGGAGAAATTTCGTGACAGTGAGATCAATTAATCAATGGAACAACTTGCCTCCAGAACTTTTGAATGCTCCAACACTTAAAATTTTGACGAAGAGATTGGACAACCATTTGCCTGAAATGGTATCGGGTTTCCTGCCTAAGCAGGGCGTTGGAGTAGAAGACCTCCAAGGTCCCTTCCAACTCTATTCTGTTCTGTTCTGTTCTGTTCTATTCTATTCTATTCTATTCTATTCTATTCTATTCTATTCTATTCTATTCTATTCTATTCTATTCTATTCTATTCTATTCTATTCTATTCTATTCTATTCTATTCTATTCTCATACGTCATGGTACCCACTCTTTGGAAAATTATCCACTAGTGATTATATGGGCCAAACTTGTTGGCCTTTTGAAGCACAAAAAGTTGAGATAGTTTCCTTTCTCCCTTGTATTCCTTCTCCAGAGAAAGTAACTTTGATGGATCATTGTCAGGACCCCATACCTGCCATGCCTGCAGCCTTTGAGTCCCCAGCCTCTCTTCTCCCTCTTTCCTTCTCCTCCTGGATATGGAGGAATATGCAGCATTCAAGGCATGGGCCAGAATATTAATCAAAGTGTAAACAAGGCGGTTATATCGGTTCCACATCTTGTTTCTTTCCACGTCAGTCTTCAGTGGTGATTTCTGAATGCATCTTCTCCGGCCTTTGACAGAAATGATGTCTTTTGAAAAAGAACAGTGAAGTGATTGATCTCCAAACTGTGGTTGCACAAGGAGATCTTGATCAAAGGAACTATCATTTGGTCTTTTTCTCCATTGAAAGTTATAGTTCCAAACACTATGGACATATTTGAGAAATGGGTGTCTTCTTATTTTCAATTCCCCAAAGCCTGCATGTATCCAGACTTTCCCTTCAATGGGTTCTGGCAAACTGTTAAGTGTTGAATGGAAAAAATGAACTCTGTCCCAAAGGAAATAAGATTCTACGAAGTGAACAAAGACATTGACTTGCCTCCACTTAGAGATAACATCCCTAAGCATTGCTGTAGGTGTAGTGGTTGACAATTGTTGTGATATAAGAATACAAATTCCATTCCTGACAAGTGTAGGAGTCAAGGTCCTCATGAAATTCTCTCCATGCTCTGTGTTTGAAGCAAAGAGACCAATCAAGGTCCATCTGAAATGGAGGAGCAGTTGGACAATTCCTGGGTAGAGAATCCCAAATTTGGGGAGCATGCTGTAGAAAAAAGGGAATTGACTTTTATCACTCAGAACTTCTGAAGCAGTGAAACGGATCTGAAAAAGCAGTGAAGAATGCTGTATTTAGGATCAGTTATTAGATTTCAATACATCCAACTTGTTTTGTCATGAACATATTAAAATATTGCATTGTTGATTGCCTGGTAGACCATATCAAGATACAGAATATTAAACACAGAACATTAGTAAGACCAGGAAAAATACAATAAAAGAGACAAATTAAAGAACCAGAGTAAAGAATGCAAATCATATTTCTTTATCACCTCTACATTTTTCAGCAATCAGACCCATATTTACAGATTTCAGCTGAACCGTTTTGTTCAAGTAAAGAGTTGTATTATATGCAAGTTTTAAATTCTGTCCACAGAGGAAACATGTTGTTGTCTTAATATAAGGATTGCAGTAGGTCTTTCATTTAATGTGCATTCCAAGATACTGATCTCTCTCTTTCATTTTATCTCTGACGCTAATACAGATTTGTTCGATATACTTAGTTAATTGTACATATTTAACCATTGTGTCAGGCTTCTCAAATCTTGCTTGTGTAAATATCACCCTAAGATGTGCATCCATTTCCATGTTTAAAAATTTCACAATACTGTAACAGCATTGCTAAAAAAGCATTAAGAGTTGTTAACCTAATCTTGAGTAATTTATTCTCAGGTAATATTGAACTGCAAACTAGGGCATACAAAACTTTTGCCAGACCAATTCTTGAATACAGCTCATCTGTCTGGAACCTGCACTGGATATCAGACATTAATACAATAGAACAAGTCCAGAGATATTTCACAAGAAGAGTCCTCCACTTCTCTGCTCGCAACAAAATACCTTATGCCACCAGACTTGAAACTTTGGGGTTAGACAACTTAGACCTTCGCCATCTTCAGTCTGACCTAAGCATAGTACATAAAATCATCTGCTACAATGTCCTACGAGCCAATGAATACTCCAGCTTCAACCAAAACAATACAAGAGCACAAAATAGATACAAACTCATGGTAAACCGATCCAAACTACTTTAGGCTGCAGAAAATACGACTTCAGTAGCAGAGTTGAAAAGGCCTGGAATGCACTACCTGACTCTGTGGTTTCTTCCACAAACCCCCAAAACTTTAACTTTAGACTGTCTACTGTAGACCTCACCCCATTCCTAAGAGGTCTGTAAGGGGCGTGCATAAGTGCACCAGCGTGCCTACCATCCCTCTCCTAATGTTCCCTTTTATTCATATCCATCTCATGCATTTATAATTATGTTTACACTTGTATCTCTCATAAAATACATGCTTGATGAAATAAATAAATAAAAAATAAAATTTCAAAGGGGTGTGACTAGATGCTTATCTGCTTCGATGTGTCAGACTTATTGAGAATGGCTTAATCTTTCTCTGCTTTGATGTCCCAGATTCTTTCTGCAAAAATATTTTTAACTTGTATTCCAGTTGTACAAGAGTAAGAGAAAGATCACATCTCTTAATATAATCTGTAAATCACAACATCCAAGAGATCTTTTAATTGTAAGGTTGTTTGTTCTTACAGAATTTTGGGAGTCTGTCAGTTTTCATAGCTTTAATTTTTATATCAATAATTATGTGCCCTGATTGGAGACAAAGGGGAAAAAAAAACACTCCCAATTCAGCTCTGAGACAGAAGCTGAAGACCTTTATCCACCTCTAGCTACTTGTCAGATGATGTGATTGGGTTTTTTTCTAGTAGCAATATATTTTTGATCCAAAACTTCAGCTCTGTATAAGATGCGGGTAACTTTGACATCATACACTTTAATAAATCGGGCGAAAGACAATGGATTTGTTTTTTTTTCCCTTTTAAAATAAATATTTGCCCAGATTTTAGAGAAAGAAGTTTTGAAATCCTAAATGGACTCTTGGGGCACCAGCTGAGATCCTTTTATTCACCCCCAAGAAGTTTCTCAGATGTTGCAATTGGCTTTGTTCTAGTAGTGATGCTTTTTAACCCAAATTTCAGCTCAGTATTAGAGCACTGGCAAATCTTGGCTTTATATAATATAGTAAATGGAATTAATAAATAAGATAGCTACAATTTCTTTTTAAATCTATTCGGTAAATTGCCTTATGCCCTGGCCCTAAGTGAGCTCCTTTGATGAGGATTGGGCCAAGTTCCAGTCTCAGGAAAAAATACCTCTAGGTAAGGAATGAGGTTACTTGCATTATTGTCTTATACCATCAAATAGCCTGGCTTTCATGTCATTTTCCAAAGACCATAACTTTTGAGTTTGATTTATTAATAAGTATTAATAAGGTTTATAAGGAGAGCAAACCTTTGTTTTCCCCTGACTGATATATTGTCTCATTAGATGGTTCCTGACAAAGCAATTGTCAGTAAAGGATTATCTGTGTCTAAAAGCCTTCTTATCCTTTGTACTTCTTCCAAAGACTCTTTATCTTCCAACTTTGAATTCTACTCAAGAGGAACAGGATATTGTTTTAGCCATAATATCCATTAGACTAATCAGGCTGTAATTGTAACATCCTTCACATTAATTTATTTGTATTTAAACTACTATTGCAGATTGGGATATTTCTTGAATAGTTCAGCCGGTAAAAAAAAAAAAAATCTTATTGCTCTTCAAGTCTTTTATTATGAAGTTGATCATGAATCGATTAGCAATACTAATAGCACTTAGACTTGAGTAGAGTAGAGTAGAGTAGAGTAGAGTAGAATAGAATAGAATAGAATAGAATAGAATAGAATAGAATAGAATAGAATAGAATAGAATAGAATAGAATAGAATAGAATAGAATAGAATAGAATAGAATAGTTTATTGGCCAAGTGTGAGTGGACATACAAGGAATTTGTCTCTGGTGCATAAGCTCTCAGTGTATATACAAAAAAGATAACATAATCAGTGTACATACAAACAACATGTACATACAAACAACAATTGTACCTACAAACAACAATGTAATATAATTATAAGATACCAGAAGAAAAAGGTAGTAGGAAAGATGATGATGATGATGATGATGATGATGATGATGATGATGATGATACAACCATACTACATGAGTAAATATTCTTAGATATAAGACAGTGTTGTGT